TTTAAAGTGTTTTTTCTCGTGCATTTTCTACTAATGTTGTCCGTTTCTGGATTAGGCCACGAACCAACTCTATTCATCTTCACATTTAGTACCTACATACATATTTTAATTATTACAATAAAACAGCCGTTAAAAATTCCAAAAAATACATTTATTGAATCAGTTAACTAAGAGAATTACTCTACCTACAGTAAATACCTAAGCAAAGTCGGAGATATCGACTCTATGTATAGTCTGCTGATTATACAATCGGGATTCGGGTATGAAAGTGATAAACACAATATAAACAATACCTAATCTACATTATAAAGTAGTTGCGTAGGCATAGAAACCTTTATAAAAGTAGCACTTATGAATATTCAATTTTATCACATTTTGCATCACATATTTTGCTGAACCCTTAATTTTATAAGTTGAAACAAGTCAAACGACATATAAATAGTTGGATACAACGTGCTTTCAATCCATTTGTTGGTTACTCTGTGTTGATTTTGTAATGCCCATATAAAATTGTACAGTAAAATTGTACAATAGTATCTCCACTTAGGACTTTAAAAGGGCGTCAGAAGCGAATTTTAGGCGGGCATCAGTATTATCTATGAATTATTTTCAGGTTCAAATCAAATTAAATTAAAAGTTCCAGTTCTTTTATCTTTGCGCGCGAAATCAGTCTAGTATTTTTTATTTAATTATACTTAATCTATATTTTGTAGCTTTGTAGTATTCAGACACTGAATACTTAGTTAAGTTCTTCAGTTAAATCCGAAGTCCTAACGAACTTATTTTTACCAAAGCTTATTCAAACTCAATCAATCAATGTCTCTGTAACATTGACTCTTAAGAAGTGTTAACGTCTAGGCGTGACTCGAACCCAGAACTCAGGTATAGTGGTAATGATGCCTTGGATCCTCTTGGAAGGCTTGGTCAGGGGGCGGCCGTCAGCCGTGGACACGCTGAAGGCTTGCATAAACGCAGCAAACACCTGAAACATACTTGTAATTTAAGCCTAAGGATATGACGATGAAAATCGCGTTAGAACGGATTGAAATGTTTGAGATATAAAATAAGCAGAATTTGACAAGCAATAAAAGAGTCGTCAAAAACAAAAGTTTTGAGAAAACTTTTCTCGATTCACGCACTTTTAATTATTCTGCACGGATTACCGTAACAAGCTGTAGAATTACAACATTAGAAAATGTTGTTGTTTAACTGTTTTAGCACGAATGTGTTATCTTAGCAAAAAATTCGACAAACCTGGAATAAAGTCTGCCGCGCATATGTCTCCCCAGCACAAAGTCGCCTGCCTGCAAAATAACCGTGAAAATGTAAGTAGGAGTTTTAGAATCGGGCTTAAAAAAGTTTTCGTTTTAATTAGTATTTTTTACCTAGGTAAAACATTTAATCTTACCGTTATAATTTCAACCGTCGCCAGTCTGGTCACAAAAAGAAATCAACTGGTAAAAGCTATGCAACGTAGAGTAAGTTTTTGTTTCAAACAGGTGATAGCTAAGCGCTTTTAAATTACATTTTGATGATGGACGTGGAAAACCTACGTCCATCATCAAAGTGTAATGCTCCAAGTGTTTGACTATTCAAGTCCCAATGCAGCTGTATACACGTAATACTCTCAGCTATAGAAAAAGTAACGATGTTGTGAAAAGTATAGTGTAGAGTCGTTCGGTCGGTCGTTGATCTTTGTCTACTATGCCCTTCCCTAACTAATACTGTAGAATTATCTGTACATCTTAAACTCTCATAAAGGCGAAGTACCTAGCAACTAGCAACTTCGCCTTTTGGGGACTTTCTGTCGTCGATTGATAAAAGATACTAAGTAATTAAATGTCTTTCGCAAACTTACCAGCTCCGAATGGCAGTGATTTGTCCTTGGAAAGGTCGAGTTGTCCATTGGTAATGAACCGTTCAGGCCTGAAGACCGTCGGGTCGCCCCATATCTTCTCGTCCATGTTCAACATTGTCAAGTTGGCACTCACCAATGTGTTCTGAAAACGGAACATTTTGGGATTCAGCATAATTTTATATTTTATGTGAGCACTAGCTTTCCGCCCGCGGCTTCGCCCGCGTGGAATTTTGTCTGTCAAATAAAAACCTTATCGCGCGCATCCCTGTTTCAAAAACCAGGATAAAAACTATCCTATGTCCTTTCCCGGGACTCAAACTATCTCTATGCCAAATTTCATCAAAATCGCTTCAGTGGGTTTAGGCGTGAAAGCGTGACAGACAGACAGACAGACAGACAGACAGACGGACGGACAGACAGAGTTTCTTTCGCATTTATAATATTAGTATAGATTTTGCTTGAGTGTTCTTTGAAAACATCAAGTATTTAGCCATGCGGTTACCTAATACCATTTGAGATTATACCAAAAGAAAAAAACTTAGGTATGTATGAGACTACGGAGTCTACGTACCTTTAAGAATTTTAAACACTATTGATGTATCGTCAATTAAGTGATGCAATGAACTGACGAGTCGGCATCGTTAGTAGTAGATATTAATTAATCTTCGCAACTGATCTAAACTTACAAATTACTATAGCACGATTTTACAATGTCAATTAATAAAGCAGCGGAAGAGCGGACTATAATTTAGGCCGAATGAGAGAGCAACACGGGAAAGTATTAAGATTCTGTCACGCCACATTCCTACGAATCGTCGGGTAATATTGCATTATGTTCAAGAGTGTAATGTTTCGTAATCGTAACGGTCTGATGATCTATTTTAATTTTATTTGTTTTACGAAAGATTGTGTTTATGAATTGTACTCAACAACAAAAACATCTAAGATACAAGTTTCATTTGTATTGTAATAACTTTCGAATGGAGATCACGTCTTTGGAATCGTGGTGTAGTGTAAGACACCCGCTGGGGGTGCAAGGTAGCAAAACTAGCTGGAAGCGAATTTATAAAAAAAAACGCGAGTTTGTACTTTGTTCCCTTGAAGGCGGACGCTTACATTTTGCAGTAGACTACCTCTGGATGAAATGATCAAGGTATTCGGGCCTTTTTGGCTTGATGCATTAAACTCTCTTTCTATACGACGATGCGTTCCTGTATTTCCCTGCATGCGCTGTCTTGTGAGTCTATTAGCTAATAAGGTACGTTTTTGTTTTAACGGTACATACATACCTCAGGGATATCGTAGCCATGGAACTTGACATCTCTGATAGCGCGGTGCGGGACACCCAGGGGCACAAGGGTCTCGTACCTCATAATCTCTCGGAGACAAGCCTCAGTGTACGGCATACTGAAAACAAAAGCCGTTTTTGTTGATAGTGTACCTATAATATGTTTAGTGTCACGTATAGATGAATTAAACGGAATGCATCCAAATAAGAAGGACCCTGTATAGCTGCCTTTGGGGTTTATTTACGAACATAGGCCTAAAACATAGGATCAGCATCGTCAGCGTCGACCGCGTCGCCGTCGCCGTCAGGAACACGTAGTCAGCGCAGGCTAGGACCAGTTTTACCATTCATTCTTGTGGGTATTTCTCATCGACACGGTTCTCATCGTCACCTTCGTGGCAAATTTTATTTCTAACTTATTTCAACTTTTTGTAAACAAAAATTGTAACGCTTGATGTAAAGATTGTATTCTCAGTAAATCAGTCAAATAGTGAGTCTCGTTTGGAAGCTTTAACGTTTTAAATTTTTAGATCCCACGAAAGTGATTCTGTACTTCACAGCAATAATTTTTTCAAACTTTACTACTGTAAATGACTCTTAAGTGTTTATAAAACATATATTTGTCTTATTTTCATAAAGCAAGCGATGTGCAGTTCTTTGGAGAAAGTTCTTGAGAGCTGTTCTTTGGAGAACGCGAAAAATTACCCCGTTTTTTATCGTTTCATGTGATGTTTTCGTATTATTTTTGCTTCTATTACGATAAAATTTATTTTGTATGTAGCTAAATAGATATTTTATCATCTGAATTCAAAGTTATTGTTCTAACTGAAACCGTTTATGAACTATTATTGTGTGACCATCAAATTTGAGTGTAAATGAGAAGTACCCTTGTATTGTATTGTACCTAGCTTTTTATGAAAATAAATATTTTATTATTTATTATATTATTATTATTATTCTGTTCCTATACTCACTTGCGTCGGTCGTCGAGGGTCGGCAGCCTGCCTTTGCCAACCACGCGGTCGATCTCCTTGTGCACCCGCTCCTGGATTCCTGGATTCAGCAGTATCTGCTCGATCAGCATCGTCAGCGTCGACTCCGTCGCCGTCGCCGTCGGGAACACATGTACGACTACATAGTCAGCGCAGGTTAGGACCAGTTTTACCATTCATTCTATTCCTATACTCACTTGCGTCGGTCGTCAAGGGTCGGCAGCCGGCCCTTGCCCACCACGCGGTCAATCTCCTCGTGCACCCGCTCTTGGATTCCTGGATTCAGCCGTATCTGCTCTATCAGCATCGTCAGCGTCGACTCCATCGCCGTGGCCGTCGGGAACATGTAATCAGCGCAGGTCAGGACCAGTTTATACCATTTATTCTGTTCCTATACTCACTTGCGTCGGTCGTCGAGGGTCGGCAGCCGGCCCTTGCCCACCACGCGGTCGATCTCCTCGTGCACCCGCTCCTGGATCCCCGGATTCAACAATATCTGCTCGATCAGCATCGTCAACGTCGACTCCGTAGCCGTCGCCGTCGGGAACATGTAGTCGGCGCAGGTCAGGACCAGTTGGTCCACTGGAATAAAAGAGCGTCTGTTTTGGATTGGCCCAGTTATCAATCTTTGCTACTTATTGTCTAGACTCGGTGATTGTCGTCGTTGAATGAAGGTTTGTTAAAGCCTATTTACTAATCTAGAACTTTTACGAGTTCAAATAGGTATTGTTCTGAATTTATTCATGTGATTTGAGTTGATTTCCCAGTAGAGAGACATAATAAGCAAATAAAAAGAACTACAACGAAACTAAAAAGTTATCCATTATCGCTTAGTGCTTTCTTTTCCAAGATGTCTCATAGATTCTTACTATTCGTAAAGAATGTCTGCACTACGAGTAGTAGAGAACTATTATTTACCAGAAAATGTGGATTTTCCATGTTCCTTAATTTCTTCATTCATCTTCTTGATGTACATATCCAGGAAATGACGACTGTGCGAGTCCTCTTGTGTTTTCATCACTTCCTCGACTAATTTCTGAAAACATAATAACACATACGATTTAATCTTATCTTTGTTTAGTGAAAACAATTTAAAATTCGTAGTCAAATTTTTGATGCCTATACAATATTACCTATTCGTTTGTCAGGCTCATTTTATTATTCATCCACATAATTAGAATAATCAATTAAGTATGTGTTGCATAGGTGTCACAGTAAGGCTGAAAAGTCTGAGGATGGAACTTGGCTTGTCACCGTAGGTAACTGCCGCTTGGCATTGAGTGACGGAGAATGGTAGATAGCAATAACTGATTGGTCTTTATCATGGGTATAAAGGCTGATTTACACGTGTTATATAGTTAAGTAGGTAACTTTTTTACTTGTTTTTTTAGTCAAGTTGGTGAGCGGGGCTTGTCACTTGACACGTTTTGTAGTTTCATAGTGAACAAGAGCTTGACGTTTGGAATTAAGATAAAATTTAGTTACCTATTGAACTACTTAATACGTGTAAACCAGTCATAACGGTAGTGAAAAAGTAACATATTATGATTTGATTAGTTCGATTAACAATAAAATTACCTCGAAGAACTCCAACAGATTCTGGTTTCCCTTCCTCATGCCGGCGTAACCACTGAAGTTGGGCAGGAGGTCTTTGATCCACGGCGTGAATGTGATGGCGCCCCCCAAATCGTTGGAGCCCCTTTGGAACATCAGAACATGTCTGGCCAGGTCCCAGAGCCTATCGTACTCTGCCCTGGGCAGGGTCATTCTGCTGAGGACATGGAGCATGCCGTTGATGAACGGCACCGCGAAGTAGTGCGGCAAGTAGATCAGATCACCTTTCACTATTTTCTGTAAATGAGAAAAATGCATTAAGTGGAAAGGTGTTGGTAAGAAAACCCAAGTGTCAGTGGAAACTTTATAATAATGTTCCAAAAAGTGTGTATAAAGCCCGAAAATATTTTCGGTAATTTTTCCAAAAATCTTCACTAAGTGCCTACTATAAAAGTAATTAACTATACAAATAGGTTTATAACCCAAGTAACATTTTACTCCATTTAAGAGTTCACATTTAGTTCCAATGTGTACTTAAAGCATTAGTACAGTTCACTCGTGATGTATAAGCTGTATTATTGCAATTAATTACACCTATACCTGTCTAAGGGACTTATAGGAGTGTAGACTAGTGTAGAGTTATACTTTTATACGATTGTTGGTGTTATAATACTCTAACAACTATCCTTTAGTCAGCCGTCTGACTAAGAGCATTATAGGAGGGTAGAGATACGGCAACTGCTGTTTAACGGCCTACTTGTACGATGTTACAGAGCTAGCATTTTAATAGAACACACGTGGTCATTTAAAAAGCCAAAGGCTATTATGTTTACTTGTTTTAGACTGTTATACAGCTAGTAGCTGTAGTAGGACTTGTTTGTGTTAATAAAATAACCTTTTTTTACTATCTGTACAAAAGTGTTTCAATGGTTCGCATGTGCACTGTAGGCTGTTAAAAGGACTATATGTGTTGTCCATTAACATCAATAGCAGTTTATTTGTCCACAAGTACTACTCTTATTTGCTTTAAGCTGAAAATGAATGTGAATGTGATATTCTATTACACTTTTCCCCAAGCCTGTTTTTAGTTGTATTTATGGTGGTTCTGTACATGATGCAGAGGAAAATATTATGCCTGAACCTGAAAGTTCCCTTCAAAATATACAGATATCAGAGTGTGATGATTGCAGTTCTAGTGATAGTGAATACAATTTTGATTTAGACAATTATTTAACCTTTAGCAAAAAAATAAGAACATGGGCTATTGAAAATCGTATTCCTCATTCCGCTTTGAATAAATTGTCAGGCATAATAAACGAATTTAAACCGGGAACACTACCGTCTGATGCTTTAGGTATTCATACTTGACTATTAGTACCTGGGCTAGGCGATTTAACGGACATTAATAATTTTTATTGCGGATCTCTAAAATTTCAGTATTTGAAAGAATTAAAGATACACAATTGACCTGAACTAGGTACATCTTAAAGCTGTACATAAGTTCACATTAGAATAAATTTATAGACATTAGCGCTGTAGTGGTACAAATGTGGAACTTAATATAGATAACAGCATTCTAACAGAACACATGTGAACCTAATATACGCTCACCGCATTAAATTGGAGTTATAACAGTTCACATAGCCGTATTTCATTTCCACCATTTTGTTCTACATAACCTAAAATATTTACCAAATAAATCTCCAAAATTAATGCAGATTTATCACAAAATTCGCAGATAGAGCGATTGAGTTTTGGTTTCATGTTATAATTAATTACCGTAGTATAATTATAATGCCAATACAATATCAAAAACTGAAAATTGTAGATTTCCTCTCAGCCAGTTTTAAATATTTTAAAATGAATATCGCGTTTTTACAGAGGCGCGTAAATATTTTAGCTGTAAATATGTATACATTTCACGATAAAGTTGCATTCCCAATGGCATTAACATTATTAAGTATTTAAAACCCGTGTTATTATTTGCATAAATGATTATATTATCCGCCCGAGTTGTTTCCTCTTGGCACTCACGTACAAATACCAAACTAATATTAAAATGTGGAAATAATTTAGGACACACGTGAACTTTATGTAGCATTGGAGTACTTTTGTCGGACTTTATAACTTTGAAAGCTGTGCATTTAGCCACTTGTTACTCTTTATTGTCCTCACGTACGTTGTATGGTTCACACTGCGTCCCATATAGTGCCGTAAGTCAGCCTTAAGTACGATGTTACTACTTAAACTGCTATTATAATGCTATTATACTGCTAATGTACAGCCATAGTGAACTTAAAGCTGTCTAATTTGTGCCCAAACTGGTTCTATAAAAGCATTATAGCAAGCTATACAGCTCGTATACAGCTGACATACACAGCTTGTGGAGTACATGTGAACGACTATTGAACTCTTAAATGGAGAAAAATGTTACTTGGGAAGGTCCTTGGTTAACTAGAAATAAGCAGAGATGCAATATAAATACCTAAGTAGATACGATTATAATTTATTAATTCTCGTTACATCCGTGCTTGTTTACATTATGACTTATTTTATCTTTTGAGATATTCTCAGTAATTTGTGTTAAAGATATTTAATGAGGTAGATTTGGTAAACGTAACTTTGATTGTGATGCAATTTGGTCACATTTATGCATTACTTATCTATTACGTGTACTTAAACGTGAGTGGCGATTAATTAACACGTGCGGCAGATTTTATGGATAGATGATAATTTTAATAAATTCTTACTGCTGATTTACATAATATTATTAACATCTGAAAAGATTTTTTATTCTTGTGCCTCCTACTATGAGTAACTAGATTAAATTCAGATGGCTTTTGTTATAGATAACCCCTTCATCAAATTGTAAAACTAAGTAAAACTTTCATCAGCTTAAGGCAATAGTCCTAAGTATCTTTATCAGAAAAATGATGAAACAAATTGAAGCAAAGGTTTCTTTGTTTATGAAACTACATATCTAATCTACCTATATAATTTCCGGTAATTCAAGGTTTTCCTAACTTGTGAAAATGGTTCATTCCGAAAACTGTTGCAGTACCTACCTACCATATTAATTATTATACACCTGGGTATATTATGTACCAAATCATCATCTTGTGGAAACGAGAAAATTAAAGACTCTACCTAGGGGGTCATCCCAAAATATTTTGGTTATCCATGGATTGATTGGAGTAATCAGAAGAAAACCTTTGTCCAAAACCTATTTTTAAGAAACTGTACCTCTTCAGCAGGGTATTTTGGTCCGTTGAGGGTCATGTCGAGCATCTCCTTGATCTCTCCTTCCACCACAGTTTCTAGGTTGCTGTCCCGTCTCCCGAATCCGTAGTCCCGAAGGTACCGCAGCGAGAACCGACGCTGGACGTGCCAGAAGTATCCATCCGTGAAGAATATACCTGGAAGTTATTATATTAAAAGTTAAAGCATGATTATCAAGGCCTCCCCAACCCGTCTGGCCATGGGAAGTGTAAGCCAAATCCTCCATTTGCCTCTGGTGCATTAGAGAGGGTCCTCCTACAGTGGAGACTAAATGATGATGATAGATCAAGGTGAGCAGGGCAAATAGTACGGAGAAATGATGGCCGATGGGGCAGCAAGGTTCTGGAGCGGAGGCCGCGTATGGGAAAACGCAGCGTAGGATGTCCACCCACAAGGTAGACCGACGACATCGTAAAAAAGATAGCAGGAAGGTGCTGCCGCTGCGTCTTTCCGTTCTATACATGGCCAGAACGCACCCATAGGAAACTGCTCGTGTATATTTTGTAGTGCCCGTTTGTAAATCTGTGACTCCAAACTATACACGAATTTTGCGTACTGATCGTGTATAGTTTGGAAGAGCTTAGTAAAAAAAGTCATATTCAAACTATACTCGATTAGTTTCTACTACACCACTTACACTTACACTTGACTAGAGTGTGTTTAGTTGATATTGATTTAGTAAAATATGGAATTATATTTAAAATTACATTTATTCGATATTATTACATAAAATATTATTATTTTACTGGATCTATAATAAATGTAGATTTTTAACACTATTGTAAGTGGTTTTTTAAATTAAATTGATTAGGTAGATTTCAAATTAAATAACAATTATTAGTGTAATCATAAACTCATTGTCAAATGAGAGAGAGTGAGAGAAGAAAGTTCAACGTGCATTATTAATACATTATACGAGACTTTAAATGCTAGGTTTGTATTATCGGTCGTTTGGTGTAGTGGTTCGAAACGGACTACTATTCCGGAGGTAGCGGGTTCGATTCCTGCACAGTACAAACATTTGTGTGCATGAACATATTTGTTTGTATTGGACTGGGTGTTTTCTATGTATAGTATGTATTTACAAAAAAAAAAGTATTTAAGTATGTATGTTTAATACTTAGTATTATGTACAAGCTTGGCTTAGTTTGGGACTAGAAGCGCAGTGTAAAATGTCTAAGGATATTTATTTATTAACTTTTATCTCAAGAACAAAATCATTTTAACATATTTCCATACCTACATAATTCTTAATATAAGAGTTATTCGAGAATTGGTGAAAATTAAATATCAGCCCCAAAACAAATATCTTTTCTATGGCAGAATCCGTGTCGAAAGATGATTCAATGTTTAAAGTAGACACGCAGATATGAATATGTAATAGAAAGAGAGGTCAATAAGACAAAATGACTAGCATGCAACTACTCGCGTATAAATTGTAATCACGCACTTATTACAATACATACGTGATTAGTCCGTATGCGTACTGGCGATGTATATTTTGGAGTAAGATAATTGACCTAAGTCACTACAAAGTATACGCGAGCAGTACGCAGCATATGCGTACTGGTCGTGTATAGTTTGGAGGAGCTTAGTAAAAAAAGTCATCTCCAAACTATACTCGATTAGTTTCACACCCTTGCGTTCTGGCTATGTATAGAACGGAAAGACGCGCTGCCGCTACAAACCGGGCAACATGGAAAGCATTAGGGGAGGCTTATGTTCAGCAGTAGACGTTCTATGGCTGAGATGATGATGATCATGGTGGAAATAGGTTTGGAATCAGATACGATTCCTGAATGAATGAAGTAAGTCCAAGGGTTAAAATGTGTTAATTCGAGTCCAAACTTTGTAACATTTCCTTTGAAACCATCATTTAAAGTATTTTGTTGTTTACAATTTAATTTATCTTAGGTACAATTGCATTGGATAGGTCGTTTGTAGATGACAAACTGCAGTTTAAGTTGGTAGGTAGGTAGGTATACTTATAAGTAAAACATGTTTCCGGCCATCGCATTCGCATCATGGCCCTTCCGTCAGTTTCAATTAGCAATATTAAAGTTTAGATAATAAAATACATATGGCAACACATATAAACGATTTCCTTGTGTGATATTTTTGAAACGAGGGCATCGCGTATCGCAAAATAATAAATTCCGTCCAACTGACAGTTTAAACATGCAAACAAGACTCAAATGGCCAATTATCGCACAATATTTACTTCATAACAAGTTAGTTTGATAATAAACTAAACTAATTACAATCTAGAACTATTTCTTTGTAGATTGTAAGAGGAAATACAAATGGAAACAACAAACATTTTAATTAATCACTTTTGCTTTCACTGTTTATTATTTTTTACGTAGTAAATCCAATTTGTTATCTGCTACAAAGTCCAAAGAATACCAGAAAAAAATTGGTGCTGATGATAATAGTCTCGGAGCATCTAGCGACCATAGAAATTAATATTTTCTGTATCAAAATATGCAGTGGTTGATATCTGAACAAGACTTTTTAGAGCCAGAGCATCCGGTGACAAAAATTACTTGCATTCAGGAATAGCAGAATAGGTATTGATCGATAGAGCGTGATCGCCAGGAGAGCCAGCGAGAATTAAATTACCTCTAGCATGAACAACTTTCGTCTTCGAATCGTTTGCGTATTCGACAAAACGATAACGTGACAATTTTGATTCTTAAAATAAGTTTCGTGCAACCATTTCTCATACTAAGTTCACTTTACGACACGTTCACGTGCGCTGTTGTAGTTTTCGTACTAAATCTTTTAATGGCGATTCGAATACGCAAACGATTCCAACTTGAAAGATTTTCGTGCTTGCCGTACAGCACCTAGTAATTTATATTTCAGGATAGCCACACACTCACCCAGTTTCTTCCAGTAAGACCGCAGTCTCCCAATAATGATGTCCATTCGTCCATCGAAGTCTTCGGAGTTCAACATCTCCTTCACCATCGCAGAATCGTTGACGATGACCGACGGGACTGGCCCGAGGTAGAGTCCCACCATCTTTGTCTTGTACCATTGCCCCAGCTTCTTGAAAGCTGCTGCCAGGTTGTTGTATTCGCTGGCCAGGACTATCCAATAAGCCCCGTACACCGGTAGACTTGGTGGCCCTACATGGTTAAGAAGTTTTTTAATTATCTTCATTGTTAGGCTCAGTTACACCATCTTACTTTAACAGTAACTATTAAACCTTAACTGGTGTTTTGTTTAAAATTTTACATATTTTTGACGATTGTTGTAGTTAAAGTTAGATGGTGCAACCCAGGGTTAATAATCTTACTTCTCAGATGGGTTTTTATTTAAACGTGTACCTACTTACCTAACCGGCTGGTACGTACTAGGGGCGGGTCGCTAGTTTAATAGTAATTAGGGCTGATGAGTTTCTAGTTTTCATTTATATTTTCCGGGAGTAGACTGACGACCTACTAACCTAAACACTATGACTTGTTGTTATAGGTGCATTTTTGCAACAACAATGTATGATGTGTTGTTGACTGTGTATGTGTTACATACTTTGTATCCTAATAGCCTCGTTAAAGTAATTTAACATATTATCTTGTTTAAAAGATGATATTTCCGCTAATTTCCTAGGATATAATAATAACTTCTTTTGCTATTACATGTATGTAAATACAAGACTACAAAGCGTTCGTGAGGATAATCGGTGTCTTATGCCAACACGCACTTACTTTAAAAACAATGACGGATGGAGAGACAAATTTTAAAAACCTAGTACTAAATATATTGAGCTCTTTATTAAGGTAGATTGTATATTAAACTAAATTGAAATGACGATGAAGCACCTGATGTCATGCCCTAAGTGCCCAAGCAACTGCACTCAGGAGGATTTGATGAGTGCTACTGACAACGCCACTCTTGTCGCGGAGTTTTGGGCTGACACTGTGTAGGTTTGTTGTCGACACGAAAAGAAGAAGAATTGAAATGACTACCAAAAATAAACTTATCGCAACAATCGTCTCTATAGTTCTGTGGGTCTAGACAAAGTGCAAATTATAATCGCAAACTAGTCGAAAAGTGGTCGAAAAGCCTCTCTTTTGTATGGAATTTTGACGGATTCGATTTTCGATTCGATCAAAAAGTACGTTTTGTCTAGGGGGGCTGAAAACTCTCTAAAGTCTAAATCTCAATGAATCGTTTTTAGTTGACTTTAATGACGGGGGAACATCGAACGTTGACACAAAATTAACATGGATAGGTAAATTTATAGTTTTCCAATAGAAACAATGGCTAGGTAATAAATAATTGCTAACTTTAACTAGAATAAATTATGACGGGCATTACGTATTACAATTTATATCCTACTGTTAAGTTAATAAAGGGATATTATTTAGGGGAATATTGCTCTCAAGTAGCTCTCAAGTATTCAGATTTTTTTTAAATAAATGCAATTCAATAGCGTTTAGGTAAGTATAAGTAGCTACAATTTTTTTTAGAAGAACTGACATTAAACATTTCACACGGTTTCAGGTTCACTTATTTAACCGACAAAATACTGCGGAAAAGCCTCGAGTTTTATGAGCTAGACTAGGGCTCCCCAAACTGTGGCATTATCCCAAGAACATCGTGATGCGAAAATAAATGTAGAGAAAGAGGAGAGTGGCAATTTTTCAAACTTGAGCCCCATTTTGAGAAGCTATACTCAGAAAAAAAAGCAAACACATCCTCCTTCCCAATGACGTCACAGTAAAAACAAGTTTGGGAAGCCCTGAACTAGACCATAAAAAGTAAATAAAGTCTCTATCCTAGGCCGTAGTTGAATAACAACACGCTCTTGCATTAGTTTTTAACTTAAACTCACCTGGAGGGAAGTTGTCAAATCTCTTGTACGCATTTTTGTATGCCCGCGCCACAAAATAAGACACCAAAGCAATGAGTATAACTATGCCGATCATATTGCTATCGTATTTTATTAACTTAAGCACACAATATTATCGACGCGTTGTTTGGACGACAACAAAGTGATACTGAGTTGAATATGCCAGCCATACTCAATATCTAGGTAACTACGTTAAATTATTTCAAATCAGTAATGAGTCAAGCGGTCTCATTTTCGAACAAAGGGATCCGTATATGCAATTTTATTGCATGTTTTGGCTGCTGTCGAAAATGATTAACTACTAAGAGAGCGTAGGAGATTTTCGGTAGTCTCCTAACTTTCTTAAAGCAACATTTAAATCGAGAATTTATTTATTTACAATATTAAGAGTACAGACTTTCCCTCCTGGTGACATTATAAAATTCCATCCTGTAATACCGTCGTCATCGTCGCAGTGAGTCAAAAGATAACCACTGCTAGACAAAGACCTCTCCCGAGGATTTCTAAAACGACGGGTCCTGACTCCTGCGTTGCCCGCATCCAGCCTAGCTGTTTTCCGCGACCTTCATCTGATCGTCGGTTCACCGTACATTGCGTTTTCGGGTTTATGAAATAGCATAAATAAAATAAGTAATAAGTAGGTAAGCATCTGGATAAGGTAAACATAAAAAATACAAACTTACAAACGAGAAGTTTATTATGTAAAAGAATTAAACATTACCCTAATCTACATAAAAGCAGGCCAAATAACGATACAAATAGGTTTCATTATAACTAATTAACAAACCGTGTCAAGTCTTATCTAACATTTGATTTATACCGGTAGGTGATCAGACGGTGATCAGTATGATATCCTTTGTAGTTATTGAAGTTTTTTATATTTGGTTTGGACTTCTTATGTTGACATTTTTTACTGAAAGCCTGTTAGTAAGGCAAAAAAAATTAAATAGATCGATTGATGAAATTATTCCTGGCGTATTTTAATAAACTCACAAAGAAATCTAATTAAATTGATACGTGATTGTGTACCTAATGTAGGGCAAGAAAAAACAGGTTCTGCCACAATTATACGAATTTCTCAGTTGTTGATCTTATATGTAGATCTGGGCACCCAGTACGTTAATGTGGCAACGACTGTAAAACAAGTTATGTTTTATAATTAAATAATTAGCTAAGCCTCCGGCATACAACCGGCGCAAAGCTCGACGCAATCCTGAATTCATTTATTCTTAGGTATATCAGTTTGGTGTTAAATGCTTCTAAACTTAGTGGATGATGAATAGAATTGGTTTGAAAGTCTCTACATCAGAATTATTATGCTAAATACTCAATTAGGTACTACTTAAAAATACTCGTAGTTAATGCTAGTTTATTTTCGCAAAATAGGGTGGGGTCTTCTGCCGTATTATTATAATCTATAGACATGGATGGAATAAATTAAATAATAACAATTTGTCTCAAAGTCACTAAATTTAAACATGGTATCTACAAACTATAATGATATCAGATTGTGATAAGTTACCAAGGCCTAATAAATAATCGAACATTGCCCTATTACTAATATCAACAAACATTATCAGCTAGTTATTGTCAGTTAGCCAGGTCCCTCTTTATACCCAGGGCACTCTGGGCACGTGCCCAGAAGTGCCCCTAGTAGGTCAATGATGGGCCTAGCTTAGCTCCTGGGTGTGACGCGGACCCAGTAGTCTGGTACGGTGTTGATGATGCCTTGTAGCCTCTTGACGGGCTCCTTCAAGGGCTTGCCGTCAGCTGTGGACACGCGGAAGGCTTGCATGAAGCCAGAGAACACCTGGAACATGCACTGACGAGCGTAGGTCTCTCCAGCGCACAGGCGCCTGCCTGGAAACAAGATCAATGTTACTCTTATGGGTTCTTTTAGATATGACCTGTGCCAGATGCAAGCTTCAGGCAAAATACAACGTTACAATTACAATACTGAAGCCTGAATAGCAGCGCACGTACTAAAACGAGCGTGCTTTATTTGAAAGTTTCAAATAGTTGACAAATACCGCGGAAAATCGCGTCATTTTCCGCGCTCGTCGCATGTGCGATGCGATTTGTCTATTTCTCACTTTCAGTCGCATTTTGCGTCATCTACATGAAGAATGGGAATAGATAAATATTCCTATTACAGTCTTCCGGAATCACACGTTACGGGTAAAACAATTGTAAATTAATTTTAGGTTACAGTTTTCCATTATGTGACTTACCAGCTCCGAAAGGCAAGGATTTGTCTAGAGCCGCGTCAAGTTTGCCATTCTTGATGAATCGTTCTGGGCGGAACACCTCAGGGTCGCCCCAGATTTCCTTGCTATGGTGCAGGATCATGTAATTAGCTGTCACCATGGTGTCCTGAAATGTAAAAATAGTATGTTAATTATCTACAAGCGTCAGTATTAGCCGAACGGTGAAAGGTGACGGACTGGCCAAATTCAATTCAATCCTTGATAATTTCAATGCATTTTGGTTTTGAGCTAACTAAAGTAATCCACATCTAAAAGGGTCAAATTTCTTCCGTCTCTATGTGACATACCTCAGGAATGTCGTAGCCATGGAACTTGGTGTCGACGACCGCGCGGTGAGCCACGCCGAGCGGAACCAGGGTGTCCAGCCGCATGGTCTCGCGAATGCACGCTTCGGTGTACGGCATGCTGATAAACACAACAATATGCTTTTAGTTAAAGGCTTACATGCAATAATCACTTAAAATTAAGTTAAAATTTAGTTACCTACTTCACTAGTTCACTACTTAATACATCGTTTAAATCAGCCTTTATACATTTATGTACTTACGTAGCTTTAGATTCGATATCGATAGAATAGATATAAAGAAATACCGCGCGCGTGTAACTGTTTCAAAAACTGGAATACAAAAGTATCCCACAAATAATAGTTTACATAGTATTACCTATCTCATGATTTTGCCTGACAACTATTTTTATTAGATTTTATGATTCATAAAATCTAATAAAAATAGTGTCATAGTCGCTCTGCTACGAAAGGACACCATAGACATGTCGTAGCAAACGTTTACTACGACTACGCGACTACGTGACTACGATCGGTTGCTACAGTTTTCACGTAATATTTTATTGCTACGGGACGTATTTGTACAGTCGCGGAATGAAAAGGTTCGTCACCTTAGTGTCGGTTTTCGCTTGCACTAGGTACTGTAAGAGTCAAACCTGCCAACATAACAGTGCAAGAAACAGTGCTGCTAACATTTAAATAAATATGACGTTTCCTAACGAATAAGGTTTTGCTTGTTTATTTTTCTATCCCATCAGTGCAATGCAATAATGACATTGACCAATTGACAATAGTTTTTTTTATTTAATAGAAATAATAATGGCAGGTTGAACCAACAAGAAGGTTTTAGTTTATCAATCATAATAATCTTCTTGACAAGATAAATCGTCAAACAACTTTGATCTGAATAATTTTGAACTTTACTGACGAACAGTTAAAGATTATTTTCTCTAACTCGAGATTATTCTGTAACATAGTTTCAAAAGGTAATAAATGTGCTCGCGATTCGTTGAAGGAATCAATTTGAAAACTGACGAACCTTTTCATTCCGCGACTGTACTTGTATGTTTGTTTTTTAACGTGACTTGAACGTACATATTTGTTGTTTACTTGTTGTTACTTATCTGTTTGTAATGTAACTTCTTACTTTCAGAGCAATACAAAACAGCGATACTTATCCCCACTACATACACGTTATAGTTACATTCCTACGTTGTCTAATTATAAAAGGACTCCACTTACAAAAGAAAAACATTGAAGTGTCATACAGTAGCACCAGACATTACCGCTGTCTGGTTCTCATATCGGCTTTACCATGCTTTACTTAATTTTGTTGGGATTAGGTGGTGTGCTGCAGGGCCGGGTCTACCATTATGGCTTTTTGGGCTTCAGCCCTGGGCCCCACGGATTCAAGGGGCCCCGAGCTAAGTCAAGTCAAATATTTCACCGTCCCATTTTTTGTATACTTTGAGTAATTAGGTGGGCCTCTAAGTAGTTCCTAAGCCCAGGGCCCCCTAAACTCACGGTCCGGCCCTGGCGTGCTGTAAAATGTCAATGGAAAAAACTGCTTACTCTTTCCTGTCATCCAAGTTAGGTAGGCGGCCTCTGCCGACCACGCGGTCTATCTCCTCGTGGATGTGGTCCTGGATCTCCGGCTGGAGCAGCAGTCGCTCCACCAGGATGGCCAGCACCGCTTCCACCGCAGACGCCGCTGGTAGCGTGTAGTCAGCGCACGTTAAGGCCAGTTGGTCCACTAAATTCACCAAAAAGCCTTGTTAAATAAATAAATAAATATCCTTGGACATTTTTACAGTGCGCTTCTAGTCCCAAACTAAGCAAAGCTTGTACTATGGGTACTAGACAACGGATATAAACATACTTAAATACTTTTTTTTTGTAAATACATACATATTATACATAGAAAACACCCAGTCCAATACAAACAAATATGTTCATGCACATAAATGTTTGTACTGTGCGGGAATCGAACCCGCAACCTCCGGAATAGTAGTCCGTTTCGAACCACTACACCAAACGGCCGACTGTTAATTGAACTTTTTTATTTTTACTATGGATTTTAGTTTCTGAAATAAGTTTTTTAATTGGCAATTTTAATGACAGTCGGTAGAGCCAAGAAAAGATGTGCAATTTAGCTTAAAAAATGAATTAATTATAGAGACTGGTCTAAAAATAATTTCCGGCTTGAGTTAAGCATTATGTTCAATCAAACTAAGTTTGCTTCACCTATGAATCGAATCTAGAATCTCCGTTATTAAAAAAAATAACGCTTTGTACCTAAATTGCGAAGCAAACCAGAAAATGCTCGAATATTACTAAAATATTAATTTTACCGAATTTGGATAACCCGTTGGCGCCAACCTTAAATATATTTATTTGACCTCAGATAATAATTATATCAAAACCAGTCAAGTGCGAGTTCAATTCGCACATAAGAGTTCCGTACAAGATAATTATCAGGAATATAACATCGTATGATCGTACCTAACTTCTATTGAATATTCTTATATGAACCAGTTTTTTTTTTATTACGAATAGTAATATTTGGCATAGATAACAGAAATAGTAATAGACCCAGATGGGACATAAAAAGATTACAATACCAAACTTATATTTTTGTAAGTAGGTACTACCATGTATGTACCTATACATGCGTTCCGTTGGTCACCTTTGCACACCTATTATAGAACCCTAAAAATCAACTCACGTGTATCTTACGAATGCACGTTTTCCTGATATTTATTATCAAAAAACTGTTGAGGAGATTACGCTAATAATATTGCATTTATCAACATTATTAAGCATCGCACTGTTTCTGTTTAGACAACAAAATATCACGTGTATTGGTCATGGAAACTTTCAGCACAGGTTAATTACTTAATAAATTACTGGTCGCGCATACATTATTATAACTTTTACTCGTAATTGATAACACTATCGGGACATAAATAAAATAATTTAGAATCAATCCATAGCAATCCATAGCAGAGTACCTACTCGTATACCTATACTTTTGCGTCTATAGCATGACAATAATGACAGAAAGTTGTATCAGACTCTAAAACCGATGTGAACAACGCCTCCTCGTGACCACGACCGCTCTGCCAAGAGCGAAACGAATAAGAAGAAGAATGATGAATGATGATGAATAATAGCGCGGTAAAAATTCCACTCTCCCCTTGCAAACTCAACTATTAAGGATGATGAAAAATTTCCGCGCTGGACGTCCGGCAGACGCCATGTTCGTTGTTTGTACTATCAATCTAGCCTTTCCATCCCGGGACCTGCTCGCACACCGGAGGGTTTGGTCATTGTAGATTAATTACGTAACGAAGTTACCTGAAAAGGTCGAGCGTCCTTTGGTGTTATCCTCCTTCATCGTCTTGATGTACATATCCAGAAAGTGACGATCGTAGCTGTCGTCCTGGGTAGCCATTACTTCTTTGATGAGTTGCTGCAAAAAATCTAAATTAATCGCATACAACACAACAACGCCTGGACCAATTTTCACAATTCTTTTTTTTAAATGTTCGTTGAAGTCCAGGGATGGTTTTTACAGCGAGAAAACTTCGAATAATTTCCAGGAAAACGCCGGGCGAAGCCGCGGGCGAAGCCGCGGGCGGAAGTTAGTAATAAAAATGAATAATTAATTTATTATAAGTTATTGTAAAATCATAACTAGGTGTGAATATCACCGAAATATTCCTACGTCATGAAAAAAACATGAAGGGCCATCCCAGTTAAAAGCAGATAATAAAATGTAGATTCCATTCCACTATGGATCGCAGAGTTGGCGCCCAACGTGGGACTCATTAATTTTGGTTTACGAATCTGTGATGTGCAACACAAAATATTAAAACAACGTTAGGTATCTCTTATCATCTATCTCTGTTCGCATAGTTAGTTAACCATATAACAATAATAGGTAAGTACCTAGTACTTATTTAACAGAATAAAATCGTGACCTGTTAAAAACAGCTATTTAATTATGACTAGCAATATTTATTATATTACATTACAAAAAATAACTCACCGTATAGAAATCCAGCAAAGCTTGGTTCCCTTCTTTCAATGCATTGTATCCACTCAGGTTCGGGATGATGTTTTTTAACCATGGAGTTTGGGCGAGGGCTCTGCCGATGTCGTCGGAGCTCCTTTGGAAGAGGAGTGCGCCTCTTGCCAATTTCCAGAGTGCGTCGTACTCTGCCCTTGGCAAAGTCATGCGGCTAACGACATGGAGAAGTCCGTTGACGAAGGGCGCGGCGAAGTAGTGAGGCATGTACACTAGGTCACCCTTTACCAATTCCTGCAAGTACAGAGCCTTATGTAGTATACAGGGTGGAATTTTGTAATGCCACCTGGAGGGAAAGTACTCTTAATATTGTAGATAGAAAATTTTACTGAAAGAAAACATTCCTTTATTTTTGAAAAGAAAGAGAACTGCATTCAAAGACATTCTATAATTTTTCGAAAATTCACCACCAAACCATAAAATTTTCTGTAAATAATTAAAATAATTTAAGATTTCATGGTTTTCCTTTATTTATTTATTTATTTATTTATTTTATAGAAACCAACAGCGATACATTGAAAATATTAGTTATAAGATTTAGACTGATAGTATAGCCAATGAAAGGTTTCCCTTTTTATAAAAGAACATTGTTGTTGGGAAAAAATATGAATAAAAGATGTTAAAAAATAATAATAATTAAAAATAACAAAAACTCACAAAGAAGCAATTCATTGCGTCAATAATAGTCAATGGTTTCTGAGTGCCTTAATGACGTCCCTTTTAACTGTAAATTTAGTACTTGCAAAAAGGTCGATGTGTGCAAATTGTTTATTGAATGCACTAACAAGTCGCGACAAGACTGAGTTTCGATTGTAATTTGTATAGTGCTGGGGAGTATCCAACAAAGATACGTTGCGGGTGCGATACTTCGGAGTACGAAACGTGATCATCGAGACCAAGTCCGGGCAGTCAATCCTGCTATTCACTACATCGGACAACAAAGCCATGTCCAGGACAACACGCCTGTGCTCCAGAGATAAGAGGTTATGCTCAATACAGCTTTCTGTGTAACTACTAATGCTATTACGACAGCGAAAGTTGAGGTGATTTATAAATATTTTTTGAATTCTTTCAAGACGGTTTTTGTAAACTTTGTACTGCGGAGACCATACGGAACCAGCATATTCCAAGACACTTCTAACGTATGCAAAATACACCATTTTGATTGCATCGATATCTGAGAATGGCTTACAGATGCGAAGAACAAAACCCAGATTTTTGTAAGCTTTGCCGATAACATATTCAATATGGTCGGATAGTATCATTTTATGATCGAAATACACGCCTAGATCCCTTACATTTAGTTTTTAGTTTTCGACTGATTTCTACTCCATCGAAGTGATAACTTTCATTTGATTTATCAAGTTTGTTAGAGAGATTTCATCCTTATACTTAACCCTAACGATCGATGCAATAAAAATACAGGGTGTAATTTTTAACAAATTTTAGTAAGTTCGATTCCCGGGTGTGACAAGCAAATTTTTAGAAATCTTTGAATGCAGTTCTATTTCTTTTTCTAATTAAAGGAATGTTTCGTTTGAGTAAAATTTTCTATAGACTACCGTATTAGGAATACTTTCCCAAAAGGTGGCATTACAAAATTCCACCCTGTGTAAGTAGTAAGAACGCATTTTTTAAAGAAAACGTATAGTCTTATACAGGTTGTGCCAAAAAATAGTGTAGAAGTTTTAAAGAGAAAAGAAATTATAAAAAAATCATAACTCGAAAACTATCAAAAATCAAAAACATGTACTATTGGCAACAGTGTTAACTGCCCATTGCCAGTGCCATAGAACGAGAGTTCCATCGCAAAGAATCATCATTTGAAGAATATAATTTTAATGCATACACAATAATGTTGAGAGAGACAATTTTTCGTTTCAGTAAATTTTTACCATATCTTACTATCACTAATAAATAAGCAATATGGCACACCTCCTCTGTGGTTCAGTGATGGTTCAGAGGACCAACTATTTTTGAATCACAGGTCCAAGATTCGATTCCTAGAGTCCTTAGATTAGATTAGTAAGTGGTACTTACGTGTTCAGCAGGATATTTAGGTCCATTGACAGCCATGTCAATCATCTCCTTGATCTCTCCTTCAAGCACGCACTCCAACTCCTGGTCACGACGGCCGAATCCGAAGTCTCGCATGTACCGCTGGGAGAACCGCCTTTGGACGTGCCAGAAGTATCCGTCCGTGAAGAAAATACCTTGATAACGTAAATAGTACTTTAACCACTTTAACCTAGACGTTTTAAGTTGAACGCGTGCATACCTAATTGATAAGAGTGCTATCATTTCACGGACAAGGCTCATAGACAAAAAGTTAAGTTGGACAAAAAAGTAAGGTATTTTGTTGTCTTGTGGCCTACGTCAAATAAAATGATTTAATTTTGTTATTAAGAGTCACGCTTTCTGGCACCAAAATTTAACGTAGCCAGGGTCACCTCACGTACAGATAGACATAGTCACAAACTTGTAAGACTTGTAAAAATTACAAGCATTAAGTATGTAGTGCATCAAGAAGTGCTAAATGCTAAAGTTACCCACCCAGTTTTTTCCAATACGACCGCATCCTCATGACGATGCTATCTACCCTGCCATCGAAGTCCTCGTGGTAGAGCATGTCCTTGATCATGCCGGGGTCGTTGATGACGATCGTCCGGAACGGGCCGAGGAACATGCCGATTATCTTGGACTTGTACTTCTGGCCGATTTTTCGGAACGCCTCAGAAAGATTGTTGAACTCGGTCGCCAGGATGATCCAGTACGCTCCGTATACGGGCAGGCTGGGAGGACCTTTAAAAAGTGACAGTTTTCATAAAATACTTATTTATATACCTAATAACAATTTAACTCCCCCTGGGACTTATAAGTGTCGCTTTTTCTCCTTTTTACAAGCTTTATTATTTTATTATTATTACAAGCTTTTTACAAGCTTTATTACAAGCTTTTTATTATTATTACAAGCTTTTTACAAGCTTTATATTGACTTCACTTGTTAGTATGTGTGGGACAAATCTTGCAACTGAATTTAAGACCAGTTCTCCTCAACCGATTGAGCTGAAACTTGGTATACTTATGTAAGTACGATGACAATGCAATGTTATGGTACCATTGAGCTGGTCTGATGATGGAGTCAAGAGGTGGCCATAGGAACTCCTTAACGAAAAGGCGGAATCGCATCGAATTTGGGTTCGTTGGATTTGTCGTTTTGAGCACTTTAGTGATAGATAATGTTCAGGGTCCTGATGATGGATGTGGAAGGTGGCCATAGGAACTCCTAAACGAAACGGTGGAAACTTATAGAGTTTGGGTTCGCTGGATTTGTCTTTTCGAGCAGTTTAATGGTAAATGATGATTGAGATACAACTAAAAAGTGCAAAATAAAATTATAATAAAAAAAAAACTTTTTAAAAAACAAGCTTTATTCTGAAATGCAGTTGTACTAAAACGAAAAAAATAATTGTATGCAAGGTTCAAATAATTTCGAAAGCTTGTAGCGCAAACAGAAGAAAAGAGGAACAAATTCCATGCGCGATACAAGCTTTCGAAATTATTTGAACCTTGCATGACAATTATTTTTTTCGTTTTAGTACAACTGCATTTCAGAATATAGCTTGTTTTTAAAAAAGTTTTTTTTTTATTATAATTTTACAATTTGTTTAGAAAAATCTATCTTTGGCATTCAAAAGATAGATTTTTCTAAACATCTTACCTGGAGGGAAATTCTTCGGTCTTTTGTAGGCATTTTTGTAGAAATAGGCGAAGATAAAAGGCACCGCAATAGCAGCAATTATTGCGCTGATCATCTCGACTGGACCAGGTTCTAGCTATAATCAGACTGGCTGCATATCACATGGACACATGGTTTTGTACCCCTCTTAATTAGAGAGCAAGACCAAGAGGTCAAACATGTGTGTTCTCAAAAAGGTAAACAATGCCGGTCAATAAAACTGATATTGCTCAAAGTAGAAGAGATTGGACTCTTATGTTTTGATTCAAAGGTAAAGTAAATGGCGTAATTAACTAAAATTAGAGTTACCTAAGATGCATAAATTATGTTTTATTAATTATCGTTCGTTTCAGCCAAATGACGTTCACTGCTGGTCAAAGTGGACTTGGGGGAAGGCCCAATAAGTATTTACAATGACCGTTCTTTCCTGCCCTAGTACCCAGTTACCCACTGAGTTCAAGATAATGCTCCATTACCTTGCTATCTATTAAGTAGTTTATCACTAGAATAACTAACTTGACGAAAAGGATAACGTTTCATAGGCTCAGTTTTGAAAAGTGGTTTCGCTTCGCTCGATTTTTTTAAACTTTTAATTCCATATTCTATTTCAGAACGCAAAAATGAAAATGCAGCTCTAACTTGACAGTCCCATGGCTAATTTGTTTAAATTTTAACATTTTTTTAAACATTTTGGTTTAGATAACAATGTGAGGTCAACATATTGATATACCTACTTATCTGAGAAACGTTTTAGGCATAAACAAGTACAGGTGGTATTGCCCTCCTGTGTGTTCTTTCCACTGTCTATTATAATGTAAATAAAAAGATAAGAAACACAATTATAATAATCGTGTTCAATTAATAACGAAGATGGACACAGTTCCTATTAGCTTTAATTTTTTTTTAAGTTTTCGTAAGATATTTAATTTCTATTCACCCTGTATAATACCTATCTAGATTCGTTGTAAAAAAACCTAATAACGAGAAAAAGAAAGTAGGGAATCTAATTAAATAGTAGACTCTACAATTACTGAACAACGTTCCTGATAATTGCAAGAAATCAAGATTGCAAATGAGCTCGATAACAAGCTTAATCGTTGCACAATTACTGAACATTAAAATTAGCGTGGAAAAGGACTACTTACCTACTTTGAATTCAATCTTCAATAACTGTTCATAACTCCACAAAAGCGTGCGCGCGGGAAGAGCCTGGATGCGGGCAGCGCAGGACCGTGCATTGTGGAAAACCTTGGAGGAAGCCTTTGTCCAGCAGTGGACGTCATTTGGGTGAAACGAACGAACGAACAAACTCCAAGAACTTAGTTCGTATTTTGCATTTTGCCATGAGCTTCTTCAAAGCGCTGAAAGGGTTCTTTTTAAAAGATGACTTTGATTTTTCACATCCTGAAATCGACTTGCACAGCTTTCACCCTCAGTTGCAGATGTTTATTGCTAATTTGGGAATATTCTTCAATAACCGTAACTCTCCATTAAGGTGCGTAAGTAACGTAACGTAAACCTCTAGGCATAGCATCAGTATGAAAGAAAAAGAAATAATTAAGTAAACAGACACCCTGGACGTGGGTGCTGGTGGAACCATCTTTATTAACTACAGTTTAGAGTTAAGACTCTAGACTATCTGATAAATAGACATAAGTACCTAACTCTAGACTTCAGAGTTATGTCTATGTTTAAATGAGATCAACATCATTATTACCATCATCAGCCTCCGCCAAAACCCTCTAATATTTCCTTGTCTTCGGCTTGTCGCACTCAATGTACTCCAGTAACTTTTCCCTTTCTACACCAGTAAATGGGGGACTTACCATACTTAATGCTAATCATTTTTCGCAGGTTCCTGTGGCCGTTTCTAAACCTATCGTTGTCCATTATTGCAATAGCTTTTCAGTTGATGTTTGTTTATCACGGTATTGAAGTAGAAGACTATTCCTTTGCCACGGAATGTTTCTGTTACTTCGTGATGCTCTCCGTGATCCCCATACTCTACGGGAGTGTGCTTATGAATAACCGTAACGTGGTACTACTGCTGGACAAAATGGACAAGGATTTTAAGTTCATCTGTAAATTAAGTTTTAAATACAGGTGAGAAGCCTTTGAACCTTCGTTAAATATTGAGAAATACTAATTTTTAAAGAACAATTCACTAGCTAAACCATAGCTTCCTTAGGCTGAGTTGCACCATCTTTACTTTAACCGTAACTATAACAATAACCGGTATTTTTTGTATGGAGTTTGACATATTTTTTACATTATTGTTAAAGTAAGATAGTGCAAATAAGCCTTAATCTTACTTAACTTACTTAGCCAATAGCATCAAGAATTTCATCATCGAGATCTTTTCATGCAGAACAAGGCAGGAGGTATTTGACCGCCGCAATCACGCCTAATCATAAGTGAATATCTGTCGACTTTCAATGACAGATTAACATTCCCCCGGGACAAACAGTGACAAACTTGACTTTCCCTGGTTGGGTTTTTATTTGCGGTCAAGCTGTAGATCCTGGCTACACAGGAGTTACAGTGGTGGGAACGAGAGGTGGGAATAGTCCTGTTTCAAGTGAATCTTAAATACCTTAATCTACATGCTTCTCAGAGATCATTTCTTGAAGAGGCAGCTGTTGATCTGGCAGCTCTGCTTCACTTGGCTGGGGTTCCTTTGCTGCGTGGCGGTGCTGTATGTCCTGATGACCCTCGCGCCACTCACTTACCAGAGCCTGTTCGCCACTCAAGATGAGCATATGATTCGGCCTCTGATATTCCCCATGTGGCTGCCCAAGGACGACCCTTACAGGACACCTAACTATGAAGTATTCCTATTTCTTCAGATGAACTTTCTTCTGATATTCATACAATCGTTTGGAGGTTGGTTTTTAAACTCACAGCTAAGTAAAAGCTTAAACAAATTGCTAAAAATTAAAGGCCAACTTAGCTCATTTATTTAATTTATTTAACTAATGTTTAAGAGTGTGGTTTGACTCTAGGATGAATTGTAGGTAGTTGGTTTGTGCTTAAAATGATAGTATTTTTTTACTACCTACTTGCCTAGAGAACCTATTCTGAATTTGGGATCGGGCTCCTGATAAATTCTTTTACTCTTTATTTGCTATGTTTAAAATAAAACGCAACTTGCAGTGTACGTCTACATCCAATTCCACGTGCTGTTGCACAATTTTATACTACTGGAGCTGGTAATACTGGATTTCGACGTGATATTTGAGGGTCTTGATGAGTCAGTAGTGGGGCTCTCGCGGTACGATCCGCGCCGCGCGAGCATACAGCATGTGTTCAACAAACGAATCGAGAGAATAGTCACATGGCACGACTCTGTTTTTAAGTAAGTGATCATTAAGCCATTGCAGCCATTGCAGGATGGCAAAATTCATCAATACTAAGGCTCTCCATGATCATTAATCAGTACGTCCGTCTATTGCGCACATGGCCGACTCTTTAGTGATCAAACATATTACTACACTCGTACTCGTAGTATAATCGTCGTATAATCTTAGTTCGCTATATGGTTTTGATACAATCTGCAGTTTCTGCTGCGCGGTCTACTACGAGTAACTACTGTTTATTATCACCAAACTAAATTGATTTAATTACCTGCAAAAACATCTCACACAAACAAATATTTCCCATTAAGTAGATGGTGTATGGGCCGTGGCGTCTTTTGTTTTTGTACGACCTACCTGCTACGTGGCTACGACAACGATATCGATGCGCTACGAATTTGCTCTGTGGGCTACGAGATCTATTAATCACTCTTAACTTTGTTAGTAGCTGTATGCATGCTTTATGCTCTCTTTTCGTTCTTTTACGGATCTTAAAGCTGAGCTTTCTTAATAATCTCAGTTATTTAGATCATTATCTTATCTTGTAAACGACTGTAGCTGAACTGTACCTCTAGTAGGAAAAACTTTCGAGTTCGTTTCGTTGCGTATTCAAAGTGTCATCGAAAAATTTTGTATGAAAAATTAAACAGCGCCCCCTATATTATAGCCGCCCTAGGGGGCGCTGTTTAATTTTTCATACAAAATTTTTCGATGACACTTTGAATACGCAAACGAAACGAACTCGAAAGTTTTTCGTACTAGAGGTACTGATCTCTTGATTAACTGAAGATTAATCTACATAGACACAAAATTAGAAATGTATAATCTAGACATTTTTGTCTTCTCTTGTACCTAATAGGTCAATCGCAACACTTTCAACGGTGCAAGGACCAGTTATAGTTTACCAAGTAATGTTCAGCTCTCTAGGAATATGTCTGATGATGTATCAAGTAGCGGATGTGAGTATACCTACATCTTGAGTGATTTTACTCATATTTATGGCACTAAAATAAACTAAAACATAAATATTTATAACAGAAACTGGACAACGGCACCTTCGACATCCTGTTCATGTTACTGACTGTAGCAACAACTCTTCAACTGTGGATACCTTGCTATTTAGGCACGTTATTGAGAAATAAAGTAAGTACAACTTAAGAACTATATTCACTTTAAATGGAATCATTGGTTTAACTGGGTTATTTACCGTACATTTTCTAATTGGGCCGTTGTGTGTTGAGATGGGGTCATCACCATCATCTACTAAACTAGCTAATAGACCATCTTAGATACCGAATGCCGCTCACCACAATAATTATGGTAGGTAATAAATCCTAAATTAGTGCCAAGTAATTAATGGCATTTCACGGTAGTGTGGCCCCAGCATACCTTAAACCACCGGTTTCTGAAATTGAGATTTTTAGCTTTACTTAAGGTCCCTTGGCCTTGGTACTATACTTACTTATTCTGTGCTTGAGCGTGCTCACAAATCTCAATTCAGAATATAAAAATTGCATACCAGCTTCTGGTGGACTGTGTGTATTACAATTTTGACAACTGGTTTTCAAGCAAATAAACTGATTTGATTTGATTAGAAACCGGGGGCGACAGCAAAATATTGTTTATGTACTTATTTGCTACAAGAACAGAGTAAATGGTTTCGCAGGCATTCGACGTGGGCGACGCATGTTGGAACTGCGGCTGGCACGAGACTTCTTTGGGACGCATGATCCGCAACGAAATCTTAATAATCATCATGCGCGCGCAGCATCCAATCTCCATCAAATTCACCGGCCTACCCAACCTATCACTAGAAACTTTCTCTTCGGTAAGTTTGAATTTAGTTACCTACTTGACCTACTTCTAAACTATACTATAGTTATTACCTTACTTACGCAGTTAGGCTGTACCTATAGTTACTATAGGTACAGCCTAACTGCGTAAGTAAGAACTTGCTAAGCAGGAGGAGTAAAATGTTAAAATGGACAAGGTGTGTATACCTACCTATAAAATATTTTATTTAAGTTTGAAGGAGTGTAGGAAAAGCGAAACCATGAATCAAAAATAGCTTTTTAACTTTTATGCATCTGAGCTATTGGTAACTTTCTTTATTAATTTTATTAATGAAACTTTTTAATAAGTATTTTCATTTTTGTTACAGATTATGAGTTCTGCATACTCCTACTTTAATATGCTAAGGCAATATAACAAATAAATTAGAAACATCATGTAATGGTTAATTGAGTAATCCACTTGTAAGTGAAAAACACAAAATTTACAAAGTAACATTTATTTACTTAATATAATAATAATTTAATTAAATCTAATAACATTCTTCACTAATAAATGATTTGTTTTAATGATGAGACCCCTTATGCTCTGGAAGCAAAAAGTATATTGTTACAGGTCCTTTGGTGGTGTGAACTATTTCTGTATGTCTGATTAACTGTGTCGCCGCCAACCCATACAGCAAGCATGGAATTCCTAAAATAAAATATAATATTATTTTAGAATTATTGATGTGTGATAAAATCCTTAATATCATGATTTTAAGTAAGATTTGACTATCACTAAGGGTCCTTAAAATAAAAATATTATCACAAAACAGATGAATTTGTTAATACATAGTACAACGTTATCGTTTCTCATATTTCAGATCAATAATCACAAAATTTTTGTATTTTATGTTTTTTTTTGGTGGCTTGGTTATGTTCCTTTTTAACAAATCAGATTATTCAGCCGACAGTAGCAACAGCATTTTTTTACATAGGTAGGCACAATTTAAAGAAGTTAATTAATAATATTAACTACTTACCTAAGTTGACAACTTTAATTGCCCTCATAAACTTGTCAGATACTCCTAGGTCCTCCACTCTTCGTCTAGAGCAATGATACTTGATGTATGGGAAGCATCCTGTTCTCAAAATCTGGTAATTTGAACTGCCCACTTTCCAGTTGAAGTTCGACATACCGAACTGGTCATCTTTTACACTTCTGTACTGAAACAAATGTTATTTAGGTTAAAACTGGAAGCTTCTGGTATATTCAGCAATAATAGTAGAGTATAAACATGAGTAAGCGCCCAAATGCTTGCCTATTTTTGATTGGAAATGATGAAAGTTAGTTCCCACAACTACTTGTTTATTCTTTTATCTTGAAGACCCAAGTTGACAAGAGATATGGCAAAGACCCAGGAGTACTCAATCTAGATGTCCTGTGGCTGTGAAATAATGTTTTAAAATAACATTACCTTAACAAAATAAGAGGTCCAAGGTGGCTCATTACACTGCATCAAGTACGCAGTCAGCACCTCTGAAGCTGTTGGTTTTGAAGAAAACTGTGCCATTTGAAAAATGAAGGCGCTGTTTTTCTTTAAAATCTTCACGATTTTAATCATTTTAGATATTTATTTATTATTTTGTTACGTAAATATTTTGTTTTCATTCGCATTTGGTGCCATTGTTGACTTTTACAAAATGACATTGACGTTTTTGACAGTGACAATTTGACCAGCTGATTGTCGTTTTTTTTTCTTCAATGGAAGCCAATGAATAAAAAAATATGCTTGCTATTAATGAAATGGAAATTGAAAGTTTTACTACAACCCGATCGAGTAACTGCGCACCTCGATAAATGCGACTCTCCCTCGCAACTCCCCGCGTTTGCCCCATCCTCATCCGTACCAGAGCGTCGATATGACGCTCCTCACGGCTGCCAGGTTCGCAGTGAACATTATTTAATCATTTTATTCAATTAAGTACAACCCGATCGAGCAAACTACGCACTTCGCTTGAATTCCTCTCCCTCCTACTTACTCGCGTCCCCGACTCCCCGCCCCCTTATTAGTACGGCGATGTGACGTCACGTCCGTTAAGTTAACCCGACCATCAAAAATTAATCGCAATTTTTGCATCGAATATTATTTCCAGAATATTAAATAAAATACAAAGAAAGTTTAGCAAAAATATATTTTAAAATAAGTTTCATTCACATTTGTAAGTAAAGCTAACAAATTATACGTATGCATAAGTTTAATTAAATATGTATGTAGTAGCTACGCAATTTCAAAGCTGAATAACAATTAAACACTACTTTGAAACGATAGAACAATATTTTGAAATCCACAATAATTATAAAACTGTGATGAATAATAATATGCCAACGTTAAAATACCTAAATGCGATAACGTTTTTTTTTAATATCACAGTAACTTTTTTTGATTTAGTTTCCAATAGAAGAATAACTAATTCATTTTAACATTAATTTTGTTCGTTTATAAAAAGTCCATTATTGATGATGATGTCCACACCTAAACAAGTTCGTAAAGCTCTAAAAGTGCGCATTTCATTTTCAATATGCATTACACACTATTAGGACTCCAAAATAAATCTTACCATCTAAATGCCTATTAAATTGTAAAATAAGTATTATTATAATGTTTCACTTTTAAGACTAAAATATAATAAAATGATTCAAAATACATCGACATTAATATAATAGGTACAATATTAGTAATAAAAAAAAACTTATTGCACAAGCAAAACAAAATACGATCTTATACATAAATTCTAGTGTTTCAGAATATTACCACGTAAATATGAACATCAAATCGTGTGATGATTTTTAAATTATACAAGTGTAACTTGCACTAAGATACTTCATATTCTCAATCGATCTATCAAAAAATCATTGTAGAAAAATTTAGGATTAACTAAAAAAAACTTGAAAGGCATTGATGCCTATCAAGTTTTTTAGTTTGCCTTTGAGGGCACAATAGGTTTTCTGGATGGCTTTGCTCAAACAGAAATCTATACTTATAATAAATCTGTAGAGAGGTCAATTCTGTACATGAAATATATTTTCAAAATAACTATCAGGGGGTGATTAGTGATCGATACTGATGCCAAAAATGCAATCAGTAAAATTTTTGTCTGTCTGTCTGTCTGTCTGTCTGTCTGTCTGTCTGTCTGTCTGTCTGTCTGTATGTTCCTTATAGAAACAAAAACTACTCGACGGATTTTAACGAAACTTGGTACAATTATTCTTCATACTCCTGGGCAGGTTATAGGATACTTAGGAATTCCCACGGGAACGGGCATTAGCGGGAAAATCCTTTTGTATGAAAAATCTAAACCGCTTAAGTCAGACGCTTGAAATTTGGCAAGCAGGTACCTTAGTAAACTTAAAGCTTAGTTATAACAGGATATTGCAAAATTCCTACGGGAACGGGAATTAGCGAGAAAAAACATTTGTATGAAAAAATCTAAGCCACGTAAGATAGACGCTTGAAATTTGGCATGCAGGTACCTTAGTAAACTTAAAGCTTAGTTACAACAGGATATTACAAAATTCCCACGGGAACTGGAATTAGCGGGAAATTCCTTTTGTATGACTGACTCACTGACATACCCACGCACAGCATAAACGGCTAAACGTAGGCACTTGAACTTTATAAGGGACGTAGCTTAGGTACCTTAGAGGTGCACTAAGAAAGGAATTCCCGAAATGGAACAGGAATTACCGGGAAAATCCTTTTGTATGAAAAATCTAAACCGCTTAAGTTAGACGCTTGAAATTTGGCATGCAGGTCCCTTAGTAAACTTAAAGCTTAGTTACAACAGGATATTGCGAAATTCCAACGGGAACGGGAATTAGCGGGAAAAAACATTTGTATGAAAAAATCTAAACCGCGTAAGATAGATGAAGGGGGTAAAACGGGATCCACGCGTACGAAGTCGCGGGCGGCCGCTAGTATTTAATAAATTTAATGTTTCTTCACTATTCCCAAATGCATTTAAAAACTTGTTGTTTATGGTGAATCTTCATCTTGATCGGCCGAGTCCTGTAATACAAGAGAATCATTTATAATATTATGTAATTAGACCTACACTGGTCTTTTATATGGTGCGCTCAAAAGCGTACAAAATAATAATGTTGAGATCAGCAAGTTAGTAAATTAGTGGCATGAAGTATAGTTAGAGACTCGAGAAAGGACATAAGATAGTTTTTATCCTGGTATTTGAAACAGGGACGTGCGCGATAATTTTTTGTGACAGACAAAATTTTACGCGGGCAAAAGCTAGTTAAAAATATTTAAACTTACTCCCTCATCAGCCGATTTGAATTCATCCTCTGAATCACATTCGTTTTGGTCAACTGCTACATATTTCTGGAGCAAGTCTCTGAGCGGAGGCTTCGTCTTCACCAGCTGCCAGGCTGACAAATTATACTTCTGGTGCTGTACCGGGTCAGCCTGTGGACACAAATTAATATGACGCACCTTCTTTCAATACGATATAGATCGTTTCATCCACGAAGACGCGCCCCACCATTCTTCCGCTAATGTTTGAGTGTTATCGGTAGGTACACGATAAATTATCCGGATCAAACTCCCCGCTTCCCTAGACCAAAACTTGGTGGGGCACGTCTTCGTGGATGAAACGATCTATACTTTGTCTTATTTGTGAAGTCACACAGGGGATTATAATAAATTGTGATAATTTTTTGAGCTGTCAAGACAATATGAATGAAAATACATTTAATAATAAAAAACAAAAGACAGTAAAAAACAGAAATAAAGTAACGTAGAACCTACCTTGTTTTCCAGCAATAGTTTGACCATCTCAATAGTAACATTAGTGGTGTTCTTATCGCAGAGTATTTGCAGGGCAGTATACCCTCGGTCGTCCACTGCATTCACTTGGTCCTGGAACAAGTTTATTATTATTATTCGTGTCTATTCAACGTCATCATATTAATTGTTTAGCGATTGAGAAATTGGCGAGACAGTGGGTGCGTTTGGCAGAAAAAAGCGCATAAAAGCGCTTCTAAGCAAAATGGTGATTGTAAGTTTTCAGCGAGGACACGTTTGCTAAATTCAATAGTGACGTATTTTATTATTTTTAACAGTGACAGCGTTTACCGCTTAGCGATCGCCATTTTGCTTACAAGCGCAAAAAACGAAACGACAAAAGTTGCCAAAAAGGTCACCCACTTAGTACCATCTTGACAGTGTGTGTAACAGGTAAAGATGAACTACACTGAAATGTCCCACCGACGACATTGACAGAAGGGCGCCACCATCTTCGTTCAATACATGGTTTCCCACCGTGGCAAAAGTCGGAACCAGCGATCCGCTATTGACGGTGGCCCCCCTGTCAGTGTCAAATAAAGGACAGTTCACTGTAGTTCTTCTCTAACGGTACTTATTATTTTGTGGTGTAACTGCCAAGACACACATTTTCAGTGGGTGCCTTTTTGCAGAGGCTTACAACTTGCACAGATATGTACTCACCGGGTGCATGTGTCCCAGCAGCAGCCCAGTGACGGGCAGATAATCGTCTAACGCGGCCAGGTGCAGGGCCGTGCGTCCCGCAGCGTCCCGCGTCCCGCAATCCGCCCCGCTCTCTAGTAGAATGCGAGCGCTCTCTACGCTCTTATATATCACTGCCAAGTGCAGGGGCGTCTGTTTTTCTGAAAAGGGATGACGTTCCGTGTTTCCTTAAAGCTTCAGCCACACCAACACGTGACTTGGTGTGGTTGAAGCATAAGGCCCAGAACAGACGGTGAAATGCAACTGCAACGAAACTGCAACCGCTAGTTACTTTTGAGTTGCATCTAAGTTTCTGCCATAGCGTCCGTTGAGAGACCACACAGGACGCGACCAGTTTGAAACTTAGCAGTGGCAGTTTCGTTGCAGTTGCGTTTCACCGTCTGTTCTGGGCCTAAGACGTCGTACATTTAACATTATCAACCCGGAAAGGGATCAACACCGTAGCGCATTTCGTCGCGCTGTCAACCGCGAGGCGAGGCGTTTACGGTGCGGATAAGTGTTGCTTTGCAGTACGGAGTTTCATACAAATAATACTGACCGCCTCGAGTTCATACGGTTACGATTTGTTTCCGGGTTGATTAGTGTGCTTCGTCCTTTAACCAAGTTGCGCACGAACGAAAAATACAAAAGAGTCACTTCCTTTTAAATGAGTACCCTTCAGAGACGGCCAGGTGCACTTTTTTTATGCATAACAAGGCAATTTGACCGCAATTGCACCTGGTGTTAAGTGAGATGCAGTCTAGGATGGTACATATCTGCCCTGTAAATGCCCGTCCGTATTATAGTGTTCAGGAAAGACAGCAGCAAGGAGTTACTTACCGTAATTGCAAGCGTCTAGATTGCGAGGCACTTGAAACTTCTCGGTGGCGGCTAGGAGTGGACCCAAAGAGTCTTCGTTTTTCACACCGTAATGAATTGCGTTGTTCCCTTCCAAATCCTCCACCATCGGGTCACAACCTGTTTGAAACAATATGTTTATAATAAACTGTGTTTTATTACTCTTATTTTGAAAATTTTGAGGGTATTGTAAATTATCTGAATAAGTAGAATTTTAATAAAAAAAAAACATAATTACCTATACGGTTTTTGATGTATTCTCTGAATCTATGAATTTCGGTATACTTAGACTTATTTGAGAAGGGCCTGAGGTTAAAACAGATTATAATCGAAAAAAAAACAAAATGTTTGAACTCGCGAGTGAAGTCACGTGCCGCAGCTAGTCTCACTATAGTCTTCAAAAGAGGACAGTTTACTTACCTTTAGATATCAACAATGGTATCATATCAGACAAGTTGTCCGCCACCGCTCGATGGAGTATAGTCTGCGCCGACGCATTCTTGAGGTTGAGCAAGTGAGTCATATTGGAGTCGTGGATCAGGTCGATGAGGTAGTTCACCAAAGGCTGCTTGCTGTCCAGGGTCACGTGGAGGAACCTGCCAGTAATATAAACTTTGACAGAGGGCCAACCACGAAATGATGTTTCGTCAATGGACTCTGAACTTTACGTCCATACACAAAGATGCTCAATAAGTTTTTGGATTGTTTTAAGCTTCGGCCAAACCAACGCGTGAAACTCGCGATGGCAATGGCGAGTGGCGACCGCGACCAAAGGACGCGTTTATGTGAACTCATCGCTACAAATGAATCGTAACGTATGAAACACGACATCTGGGGGCGTAGAGTGAGTTTATGTCAAACGCATTCTATATCGACTGCGTAAAAAAGTGACATTAAGGCTGGTTTGCACCATCTTACTTTAACTTTAACAAATGTTAAAAATTTGTCAAACTCCATTCAAAAAACACCGGTTATCGTTGTAGTTACCGTTTTTCGGTGGTACAACTCAGCCTACATGTACGACGGATTGTACAGCGTCCCTGGCGGATACTTTCAAGAACTAAAATATTAATAGATTTGTTTGACGCACTCGATATCGAATACGTTAATTTGATGTAAACTCACACTACGCCCCTGATCGCCATGGCGCTCGCAGGCTGCACGCGTTGGTTTGGCCGAACCGTTAGTGTAATGTAGTTAATAATTTTGCACGTAGTATAATATGAGTGACCGTATGTGCGTACCAAGTACCAACACTTACGTTCACAATACCTTACACCAGGGTTTCCCAATTTTTTATGGCCAAGGAACCCTAATTGATTATACTTTTCCTTGCGGAACCCCCGTACTACTCCGCCCGCACGCCCTGCCCCTCCCTTGTGCGTAAACAAGTTGGTGCGCGCGAACAACGTCAGCAGGCCTGGCTCACTCCGCGCGGTACATCCGATAATTACCTACAGCGAAGCGCCCCGCCGGCGGGTATTATATCGGTCGAGTGTCACGCGCGCGCCCGTCAGGACGCTGGCGTGCGTTGTAGTACGTACCTAATTCTATGATCGAAGTATTATTTAAAAATGGACATAAAGAGAAAGAAATATTGTGCGGCGTTCGGGTATTTAAAGTCGAAAAGAAATCTACCGGATTTATCTTTTTTTTCGCTTCCCAGAGATGCTGAAAGGTATGTTATCCATGTAGGTAATCAATAATTCTTAGGATAGTATAGGAACCTTAGATTAATAAAGCCAATAATTTAATCTAAGATAGGAACCTAACCTACCATGACTATCTACTGCTCAGAATGCGTTCGTTCGTTTCAGCCAAATGACGTCCACACCTGGACAAAGGCCTCTCCCAAGGTTTTCCATAATTGTTTCTTATTCTATTTCTCTAAAGAACCCTGCCTCTTAACGTTCACATATTCCGCTAGTGTTATTTTCTGTAATAGCTTCCTGAAACACGATCGCGCGAGATGTAGAGCAAGCCGTCGGAACGCCCGCTGTGTGGTCTGGCCTTAATGAATGCGTATGAGTCATGAATGCTACATACGTACCTCATTACATATAAGAAGATTAATTATTTTTTCACTAGACAGCAACCCTAACAGCGTAAGAAGAGTTCAGAGGCACGCGATAGAAAGAGACAAAACTTGTAGGTGAATAAAATTGTAGGTACGTAGTGCTGTGCGAGCTGAATTCCACTTTATCGCGTCGCAGCAAGACTCGCATTTATTTAAATCGTCTTGCGGAGTAATCCTTCTGTACCTGTACTATTACTTATTCTGTGACGTCAGTCACGAAACGAGGGATAATATTTTTTACGGAACCCTTGCGGCCTTTCCACGGAACCCCAGGGTTCCGCGGACCACCTTTCTGGAACCGCTGCCTTACACAATAAAATTTAATACTTACGTGTCGCCATTTGAAAGCCGGAGATCAAAGAGTGCTTCCAACCTATTTTCAAAGCTCTCGCGTTTAATTCTTATCATCTCGACGATTTTTTGAAGCTCAATAGCCATCTGCAAAACAGAGTTATTTAAGTATGTGTATATTAAAACAATACGTTTTTTACATTATCAATTATAATAGGGATGATGACTGGGTAATGAAATCGAAATTCTATTTACTCCGTCAGACAGATAATTAGAAAATATTAGACTCATATTTTTTAATTTTTTCCATAATCGAATAATTACAGTATTATATCGAGTTGAAATGTCGCGTGACGTCACTTTTGAGTAAAAATTCTACTCAAGCGTGACGTATCGCGCCATTTCAACTCGATGTAGCACTGTTATTATTTAATTAGTTATGAAAGAAAATAAAAAACATGAGTCTAATATTTTCTAATTATCTGTCTGACGGACTAATAATTGAAATTTTGTCATCTAGTCTATTCGATTATTTTATTTTAAGAATATTAATTACCATTTTTATAATGGTCTGGTCATCAACTTCTTTGTCTTGATGTGTCTGCAATAAGAAAAAATAAAAACATTAATCAAGTTAAATGTTAATACGAGTACAACCACAGGTACAACGTTGTTGTCTAATGATTACAAAGTTGGATTCCAGGTTCCAATCCCAACAGTGGAAAGAAACGACCAAGAAAATAAAAAAATAGTACAAACCGTTCTTACGTCCCCGCGCCCTGTGTCTGCCACAAAGTTAGGCTCAAATTCAGCTAAAAGCGAGTCGAAGTATTCTGGGAACAAATCAGCAAAATAAAATTAAAATAACAATCATTTATTTATCTCACAACAAGTAAAGAATTAATGTTTGAACATAACAATGAAAATAAGAAAGGTAAAAGTGATGGCTAAAAAACACGCCCGCACGCATGCAGCATTTTTTTAATGACAAAGAAAACCTTTTTTTTTCAGAAGCATTATACAGGGTGACTGGAACTAGACCCGCCAAAGCAAATTCTCATTTATAAAAGGTCGTTTGCGAACTATTGGACCATATACTTTTTTATATTTTAAAACTTACCAGTAAAATCTGAATCCGCAAATACGTCCATATCATTGACATCATTGGAATAACTAGTATTCATTTGCGCGGGGGCAACGGGTATTTTAAATGTCATAATGGCATTGCCGTCGCTTTGTTGACGCATTATGCTAGCTTGGGCTAGGAGCGGGCTTTGGTCTTGACCACAGGATATTTGACTCAGTTGGGTTCCATTTGACATCCATAACTCATCTGGGTGTTGGTTCGGTGTTACCGGTTGCTATAACAGATATAACTAGCTATTGACATAAGCTAACGAGTTAAGCTAAAGCAAAATTGTAACCCTTGATCCCATCCAGGAAAAGCAAACAAAATCTATTTATTCCTATCATTAAAACTTACATTCACTTCTATAAAAGTTTCCAAAGAGTTGTTGACGATTGGTACGGCTAAAATATAAACAAAACCTTTAAAATTGTGTCCACGGTTCCAAAAAACATGCAAGTTTATCACACGAAGCAAGCAATGAAGGCAATAAATACTGTGCCACTCGCAAAGCACACAGTTATTTTATTTTGTAAAACACATGACAAATTAAAATTTTCAAAAAAATATTTTAACAAAATTATTTTGCTTAGATCTAGATTGTAATTCAAAATAGTTTAAAAAAGTAATGCCATAATATTTTCACATAAACGTGCTAAAACTGCTAAATCAATTGATGTTTCTAGAAATGAAATGCAATGAAATGAAATGAAAGGAAATGAAATGACGATTTTATTTTCTTTTAGAAAAAATATTACTTAGATCGTTTTTGTCATTTTTGATATGACTTGCAAAATATTTTGTACATTACAAAATGATAGAAATATTGAGCGTTATTATATTACAAAAAAGTTGAACACTGGTTAAAACTGGTCGGAAAACGTCATTTCTATACTAAATGTCAATTTAAAAGAGTGTTCAACGCGCGTTTAACTTTTTGTAATAAGGCTAATACAAAGTCTACAAATAGCAATAAAGTCAAATAAAAAAAATGCACAAATGTCGAAGTAATCCAAAAATAATGTAAATGAAATACAAAAATGTGGAGTCTTCAGTGACTCAAAAGTACACTGTAGCCACTGTCAACAAAAAAATGAGAGTTTTTCTGAATAAAACAAAAATAAAATAAAATAAATAAAAATACTATCTAAATGTTTCTGTTTGATTTGGATTTGAAAAAAATGATATTATTAAAATATATTTTCTTTTTGTTAAATAGAGTACATTTTGGTATAATATCTGCAACAAGTTTGTTGCTATTTCTCGTATTTCGCGGGTAATCTTCTTTATCTTGCCTGAAATTAATACATATATTGTTTCACAAATTTGGCAATTTCAAATATGTACAGAAATGGAAAGGGTTTATATCAAGTGCAGAGTAACATATTGCCCTCCTAAAATTTTTTCCGCAATAAATACCTTATTTGAAGTTATTTGCATTTCGACATATTAAGTGCTATTAATTTTTTCCGGACTTTTTAAACTTTTTTTTTTTACAATTTAGCTTAGATTTAGTTTTTGAGCTATCCAAAATGCAACTACATTTGGACTTTTAGTTTTGGTTCTTCAAAAATAATATTCATTGTAGGTACGATGGATGATAGTAAGTCATTGAATAAAATAAGTTGTCTGGGTTATAACTAGATTACATAAATGTCATCAGCGAATAAAATACTTACATGGTGTGTAATTTACTTACATTTTTGCTTTTCGAAAAAATCATCGAGTTTCCGTTTCTTACTAAAAGGAACGACCTCGGGGGTGTAGTAAAATTCTATGGGCTCGCTCTTTTTCCCGTCCGATGGTCGCACTAGTTCCACGAAAACTTGTACTCTTTTTGTGATCCTGAGGTCCTTGTATGGAGGTGTCCTGAAATAAAATGTTCAAAGATATAAAGCACATGAATTATAAGATACCAGACAAACTTTGAAGTAATAAAAAAGTACGGCTTCGGAAACTAGTTTTTTGCACTTGACAACCCTCTGGTGCCGGTTGCCTTTACTGAGTGCCAGCGCCGGCAGCCGTTTTGACTGCCGGCAGCGTATCACGTGGTTTCACCGCCGGTTACTAATGGCGATATTTTTGGGAACCGGCGCCGGCAGCGGAGGCGCTCCCAATTTAATTGCGCAATTCTGCTAAAATGTATGACTATTTTATTAAAATGATCTGCTACGAATTCTGAAAATGAATTCCTTTTAACAATATTGCGTGATATGGCCTATTTAGACCCGCATTCGGCGAAATGATGTCCGATTAGCCATTCAACAGCAACCATCAAAATAAATAATTATTTTCCATACTTTACAAAGAGCCAAAGAGTAAAAGGTGGATTCTGAGACACACAAAAGACACGAATAATCGTATCTTTAATTTACATGACAAGAGATTTATGTTACTATATTTGCTTACCTGAATACTATGGCATATTGATGGTGAACATCGTTCTCCGAAAACGTCCCATTTCCTGACCATATTTCTTTGCCGTCTTCGTTTAACTCGAAAAACCGGATCATGACGTTTTCTGTAAAAGAAAAAATACGGTCACCAGCAAGTCAACCGAAAACTATTTTTAACGTGTTTTTAACCTAAGGATAAATCAATCTAAATCACTGGGATTCCACACGCAAAGCTTTCTGCAGGTGACGCCAGCAGCGCCGTTACGCCACCTGGCGGGAAAAATTTGCAGTATGGACCATTGATACAATTTCACAGGTTTTGTCATCGCACTCACTTAAATTTTCACGTGCCCGGTAATAGACTTGTTTTTTTTTTTCAAGATATAGAGCCTTCTTCACCTTCTGTTACATAAATAAAACGAATCTATTGATAAAGACAAATTGAGATTGTAGGCTATGGTAGACTACATACATTTTAAGCACTTTACTCTCACTTTTTTAAATTGTTCGTCACTCACTTTTAATTACTTTTTCCACCAGCATAATAACATCATCTCCCCCACTGACACGGCCATAACAGCGACTCAAGCGGCATATCTTAAGAATATTTGTGGCTGCACTTTCTGTAAACGTAAGTAGGAGTCAACCTAGATAACCCACCTGGCCCAAAAAAATATTTTTATGTGCATGCTTAACATATATTTTTTTAATAGATTATTACAACTTGCACAAATAACTTACAAATGGTGGACTTTTAAGGTCATAGCACACTTATCAACCCGGAAATGGATCAACACCACAATCAGCTTTCGCCTCGAGGCAAGGCGTTTACGTTAGGGTGCGGTTAAGTGTGCATTGCAGTACGGAGTTTCATACAAATAATACTGACAGACTCGAGTTGTTACGATCCGTTTCCGGGTTGATAAGTGTGCTTTGTCCTTTAACGCTAAAAGCAATCTCCGCCAAGCAACATTTTGTCATGCCGAAAGCTGTGAGTGCGGCGCATCGTAAATATAAAACATCTTAGAACAAAACCATTCGGAATAATATTTGGGAAAACACAAAATACTCACTTAGATTTCTAATTGGTTCCGAAAAAACCGGAGCACAAATCTCTTCGCCTGAGTCAGGACGGTGCGCGCTGAATTTTAGGCGAACAATGTTCATTTCAATCAATTTTGCCATGTTTTCACACTGTTTTCGAATCTAAAATCATACATATTAATGTTAAGTAGGAAGGTATCTAAAAATTATATTATGTGTAGTAATTTTCATATTTTTACCAAAAGGAATCCACATAAATCTTTAATTAACTAAATAATTTTTTATTGTAACTTTAAATAAGTATGACTATCTAAAAAATTATAATAAATTTTTACGATTTAATTTAATCAAAGACTGAAATATTGTAGGTACGTACTAATCCTCTTCCTTCAGTATTCAAATTCTCGGTGTCATGTCCTCTGTACAACCAATCCAAAACATCTTTGGCTGGAGTGTGTACGATGTACAGATCCGGAAACCTGAAAAAAAATCATAATAAGAAATAATAATTAAACAGGCATTGTCCTATCTTAATTGAAGTATAAAATAAGTAAGACAGATTTAATTACCAAGCTTTGTAGGAATCTCCTTTTGGGACATCAAAAGTGATATCGCCAATATCATCAATGCATAATCTATGGGGATGTTCATGAACATTGTCAAACTGTGCCAATTTGCATTTTATCAGCGCAGGTCCATTATAGTTGACCAGCTGCAAAATGAGAAATTGTTTGTAAAGTAAGTTGGTCATGAAGCTTATTTATCATCTCATGAATAGTCTTCAAAGTAACAACACTTAATAATATTTAATCAAATATTTAACTTATTAACTACGTATAACTTAGTCTGGGTCTTGTACCATCTTAATTTAACTTTATCAAACGTCAAAAATCTGTCAAATTCCATACAAAAACACTGGTCATTGTTATAGTTATGGTTAAAGGTGATGCAACTCAGCCTTACAGTACAAAGAAGCCTATACTATCCAGACTATAACAGAGACACCATTGTTACTCTCCCACCCAGTCTAATCAATTGTCAACTCAGCATTAAAAACTAAGGATTGGTACCTACCAAGACCCTACCATAGGATATTAATATAATAGGTCGCACATTCAGTACTCCCATTGTTACAAACACAATGAAGTCTGAACTAAACACAATTTATGTACAAAGGAGGGGATGAATTTTTTATGCTAAGCCTCTTGATTTTGCCTCCAATGTATTTTTTATTATTTGTTTATTAATACATTTCTGCATTTAAAAATGAGGCAATAAAAAGTTCATTATTTAGTATTACAATTAACGTAATTATAACTCAATCTTACCTCAACACCAGGACAAGGGTTTTGATTCGAGTTCTTCACATAACTTTTCCCACGCAGGCAGCCGTGCGAACTCTGCATCTCAGTTCGGTACCTAAACTTATAGTGACCTTGTGGTTGTTCAATGATCTTCAAGAATGGGGTAGTGGCTGGAATTTTAATTTGAACTTTAGTATCATGAGCATCTATTAATATTTGACTATGTTAAAATTTTAATGAGTGCATGCCTTCCTACCCTCTGACCCGTTTTTTATTATTTCTTTTAAAAATTATTTGTTTATGAACACATTATCACAGTAAATATTATTATATAAATATTAATTTATAATATAAATAAAGGATTTATTAGCAATAGCATTGAGAAATTTACTTATTTACTTGCATTACTGAATCTTTTAATAAACAATTCCTAACTAATAAAAAGTTTTGAAACTTTTAGTAGGACAATGTAGTGATTCCCTAAGTATGAACAAACAAGTGGTATAATTACATACCACACTGAATGTCCTCCGTTAGAAGTAAGGTATCCAAGGAACACTCGAACTGAGGCACTAGCTGCGCTGGCGAACTGTGGGCGCTAAGCTCTTGGGGGCTCGAAGCAGACCATCGCTCGATAGACTCACCGCTAACACTACCGGTCGACATTATTGTATTTTATTTAGAAGCCTGTAGACAGACTCGCTGGTAAGTGAACACTAAACAAAAGGACTCATCAGCCTTGCAAATTTATTCTATTTTTATCACATTATTTATTATCACCACACCATTATCGCTGCTGCGCTGCTTGCTAGCTAATTTTTTTTTTTTTTTTTTTAAATCCTTCCTGGCCTGGAAATTTGTACCATTGGCCGAATACTTGTAAGTTGTCAATATATTCTTTCATGTCGTTAAAATAAAATGTTTGCTTCCAGTTTGCTTCATAAGTAATCTGTGGTTTGCTTCTTCTTTACACAGTTTTGAACTTTAAACTTGTCCTTTTTATAAATGACCAACTGTAGTGATTGGAAGCGCNGTAATAGTATCGGGGTACGTACGCTTGTACCCTGGCTTGGTGTACATTTGGTATTTCATCCTCGAAGATTCGTCCGAGCTTTCCTCTCTTGCATCTTCCCTCCCTGGCGGAACTATCCTGCGTTTTTTGTTCGCTACCATTTCGGCTGAAAAACCTCTGAAACTTTCTCCGTCGTCATCTGACGACATCCCGGTGGAATAATCGCCAGTTTTTGCGATATTTACAACTTTTTACACAATTATTTATTAAAATAAAATACGAGAAAATTTAACTACTCCCAACTCTCAAAAAGCCCGCCACGGCAATCTTTCTGGGACCAATAGTGGCAGTGTTGCCAGAAGGTTACTTTTGTAACCTTTTTGGTTACTTTTGAACTGCTGTGGTTACTTTTAGGTTACACTAATGAANTCCCGGTGGAATAATCGCCAGTTTTTGCGATATTTACAACTTTCTACACAATTATTTATTAAAATAAAATACGAGAAAATTTAACTACGCCCAACTCTCCGATTTTAATTTGTGATTACAGAGTTGGCCAGCACCAGGGCGTTGAAAATGACTTAACGGGACAAAAGTGATAGTGAAAAATATATTCCTTGTGATGTGAATAATATAAAAAAATAATATACTACGAGTGTAGTATTATCTAATGGGAAAAAACGGTGATCACCGTTGATAACTTTCATTTTATCTTACAGGAACGCACTTTTAATTTGAACTTAGTTTTATTTATTTTTTGGGCAGTATCATTGTTTTTTTTATCATATTTGACAGATGGAAAGATATTGTTTAACCATAGCATTAGAGTAAGCGCACGCCGTTGATTTTTAGTTGGTCGATAGTTGTGCCCGATTTTAATCTGTATGAAGAATCGGCCAAATCGATTCGGCGTAGTGTGCGAACTCCCATAAATGCCCATAATGATCAACTGCCCGACTAAACTATCGGCCGACGAAAAATCAACGGTGTGCGCCTACTCTTATAATGATATTGTAAATTGAATTATTAAAAACTTGCGTTACTCATATTGTTAGGTAAATTGTATATTACTTAAAAACGGAATTAACTATTGTGAATTAAGGTCAGTGCAATGTTAACGATGTTTATATTTTTATGTAAATAGATTTTTACTGACGTTTTTTGTGTGTTAGCTTATAGGCTTATTTTTTTAAAACCATTTTCCTAAGTTCAAAATCTTTATATTTAAGACTTTTGTCTTTCTTTTAGTTGAAACGAATTTTGTAATCATAGTTAAATGTTTGAAAAATGATTTCAATTCCACTATCGAATTTATTTAGGTTTAAATTAGTGATAAAGCTTTTATTTGTATAATAATATTTACTATAAGTAAACATTTTGTTAGTAGGTAGATATAAACTACCTACTTATTTGACCATTTCTTACCCAGAAAGTAGAGGGTAACTTACCCTGGGTATAACTAAAGTGTTTTACTTTTTGTTTTACTCTTTATTATTACTGTTTAGATATAAGCTTCGTGTGATGAATAGAATGATTTCTTATGCCTTTTCGATTAGTAAATATTTAAGGGTTTTTAATCTAAGAACTAAGGATTTAATTTTGATAGTGGGATGCAATCTTACCTTGATTTTAGTAGTTGTAAGTAGATTTTTGGCAAAATGTATAATTTCTTTGTTACCAAAAGTATCAGAGCCCTGGCAACAAAATCCTGAATATTTTCATTTATTTTTCAATGCATTCGTAGCCTGGAAAACTTTCCGTTGCCATTTGTTTCAATCATTATATCGCAGTGTTTCAAATGTAAGCAACTAAATCGGAAAAATGAAAAATCACCCGTGCCATAGGAGGATTTAAATTCGATATTTTTTATGAGTTTTCTAAATGACTATAAACATTAAACGATATCGTCTAACAGATTGTAGAGTCAACATCAGGCGGTTTGGTGGATTAGCCAAAACATTGGAATATTTTTTTTTAAAGTCAGGTAACGAATGAAAACTTTATTTATTTCATTCCTAAAGTGCCGTAATTAAAGAACCATTCCAAAATTGGGATACCTTCTTCATCATCATTTCATCTCAACCTGGATGTTTTACTTACTTAATGTAAAAAATATACGTTGAATAGGTACTTCCAACCATTGTAGAAACTTGATAATGTCTACTAAACTTTAATTTAAAATCAAATTTGTGATTTAGCGCGTAAGAATAACATATTTAGCTACGAAAAGTGTGTTTGTTGTGATTTTTGTATGTTTATAAATATTGTTTCTTAGATTTATATTTTAGCAATAAGTAATATCTTTAAACTTATATCAAAATAATCTACTGAACGAATAGGTACCATTACATTTTCCTTGTAAAGATGTCTAGTTTTTATATTCCAATATTTTTAATAATGCAAGCAGAATAAAGTATCACTTTAATATGAAATGGCGTAATTTTTCATGTTTTTAAAGTAATAAAATAAAAATGCATATTATACATATAAAAATATACATTTAATAATTACTTAAATAGTTTCAATTCAACATAACAATAAAAAAGTTTGATTGATATAACCGCTATATTAAAGAGAAAATATTATATTACTTGATTTTATTTGTTTTTAAGTGGCGCGTAACAAAAAAGGGTTTGTGGTAGTTTATTGGTAAAATCAACTCTTATGAAGAGGCGAAGATGGCGGATCGCAAATTCAGTGCTGCCTACAAAACGACTATGATAGTTTCGAGTACATTTCAAACATTATGGTGAGATTATCATTCTGCGAAGATGACGTCATCAACCTTTTGGTCGTGAGAATCCATCGGGAGACTGTCTACCACCTGGACGTCGAAGGCTACAGCTACCACCTGCAAAGTGAAAAAATATTTGAAAATTAGCAAAAAGTATTATTAATTTGATAAAACAGAAAGCAAGCAGAGCAATTAACAATGTAAAGCTCTAAGCCTAGGAGTATTAAATAAAAAGCTGAGCTAAGCTTAATATACAGTGTGAGTCACGTTAAAGTGTACATATGAAAATAGATGAAACTAGACCTATTTTTATCGACAAAAAAGAGCTCAAAAAATTTTTGACATTTTTTTTTTATTTTTTTATAGAATTTTTCTCTTNTCCCGGTGGAATAATCGCCAGTTTTTGCGATATTTACAACTTTCTACACAATTATTTATTAAAATAAAATACGAGAAAATTTAACTACGCCCAACTCTCAAAAAGCCCGCCACGGCCTAGCAGCACCTGACGCGTTCAGTGTTTACACCTGAAAGAATTTGAAATTACCGCCTTTTCCTAGTGCCACCTTCAACAGTCGGACAAGTTCTCTCGAATCTCAAATTACTCTAGTTCCACGAGCGGTTGCTGCTAGAGTATTTCTAAAATTCCATTCCATTTAGACATACTCTCTAATCTGTGATACCATTGCTGCATTGGAAATGTCTGGAGATTCTATTCTAAGTCCACAGTTGTACAACACTAGCGCTAGTGTCACCGCATAATCGATACTATACCGATTATTAATTGTGTACAAAATGAAGATCCACACGATCCACATAACATTTCAACCGATTTCATATTGATTATTATTATTTTCAATCTTATTAAAGACATGCATTGCTAATGAAAAAAGCCTAATGGTCGTGCACTGCTTGCGCGAATGAATCTATCAAAAATAATCGATTATAAAAATCTTTCATAGTGACGTACATCTTCGAAATTTTACTACCGATTTATAGCCTGACCAGGAACATAAAAACCCTGNGACATCCCGGTGGAATAATCGCCAGTTTTTGCGATATTTACAACTTTTTACACAATTATTTATTAAAATAAAATACGAGAAAATTTAACTACGCCCAACTCTCAAAAAGCCCGCCACGGCAATGTACATATGTTTAGTGAACTCTGGTGTTGCCAGACACATGAATAATGTTAGTTCCTCAAACATTCATGTCACGACTTTATAGACAGACCTGATTATCTAGGTACAAATATAAGTTTGTGATAGATTTTTTTTCCAAAATTGATCTACCTTGACCTTTTTTCACACCAAACTTAATTCAAGTAGTTCAACTGAAAAAAATACCTATAGGTTTTACGTCCCTTGCGAATCTAGCAGAAAGATCGTAGACAACCGTTCCTCTAACGCATTGGTTCCCAAAGTGGGGGGCGCAAAGACCTTTAAAGGGGGGCGCGGGCCATCTGTAAGAAACCTGCGACCGCTGAGAGAATGCATTCCAGAGTGCTCGATACGACCAATAAATAATCTTGAGGGGGCGCGTCTCAAATAAGTTTGGGAACCAATGCTCTGACGGTTCCTTCTGTTTCTTATGAGGTGTGGTGACATCTTTATTGCAATAACATTAATATTTTCCGACAGATCTTCACGACAGAGGTATACCGTGGGGTTTTAGGATTCGCAACATGGTGGTGCTGCTTCGCGTGGTTCCTCACCACGGGACTCGGGCTCGGCTACCAGACCTACTTCCGCATCTCGTGAGGCCCCGGACAACCCCGGACACGCTCGGACGCCCGGACACGCTCGGACGCCCGGACACGCTCGGACGCCCGGACACCTAGTCACCCCGCCCGGCTTGCAAGATATGCTAAGGCAGTGCAATTTGGTTGTTGTCGATTTGCCACAATGTTACGTCACAATTTTGTTGTAAGTTAAATTCATCATTTATAATTTTTGTCAGTGACGGATCAGCTTTATGACAAATCGACAATATAATAGACTAAAAATAATGAGTTCGTTCGTTCGCCAGCTACAATCTACCGCAGGACGACCAATTTCCTGCTTTTATTTGAAATTGATAGCCAAAATGAACATTTTGTCAAAAAATAATTATTGAAGAATATTGAAACATTATTTTAAACCAATATCATTCACAACGTACAATTTTACCAGTTACCATTTTATTAGCCAGAACTAGGGTGATTGCTATAGTAATTAGCATATACATAAGTTATTGGCATATTGGATTGTTAATAAGTAAGAGACAAAAATATTTACTACATTGGACTGTGTATTGCTCAGAAAAAATATTTATCTCTTTTCCTCTCTTAATAACTTCCATTAGGCTTGTTTCTTTTTATTTTAGGCAAGTTGGCCAATAACTATGTATTGGCTAATTACTATAGCGATCACCCTAGTTGCAAATTGCAATGCACAATAATATTTAATTACTTGTACTTGTTTCATTTCTTCTTTCTATCATTTTAAATAATATTATTATGTTGAAATGCTGGTAGATATCTTAATGACGTATTAGTTGTTAGAATCGTTTGACTGTCCGAAAACGAAAATATTATAATAATAATATTTTTATACAGCATGCAGTAGTAGAGTTCCCATAATTTTGCCAAATGTGTCTTTTAGGCCAATGGCCACATTTGCTGCCATTTTCAGTTTATTCCTATTTTAAGAGTACGAATCTTTGCTTTTGTTTTTAATTAAGTGGTGTTCACCCAAATACCTACTGTAATAAGTAAATGCCCATGCATTAAATGTAGTATAACCCGATCAAGGCTGGCTGGAATGCGACTCTTCCTCGCACACCTCCCCGCGTTCGCCCNTCCCGGTGGAATAATCGCCAGTTTTTGCGATATTTACAACTTTCTACACAATTATTTATTAAAATAAAATACGAGAAAATTTAACTACGCCCAACTCTCAAAAAGCCCGCCACGGCAATCTTGCTAGCTAATGTCAGTTCGGTGTTGCTATGTAAATATACAAATTGTCCATCATATGTAAAAAGAAGCGCTAGTTAAAAAATAATGTTGGTCTCCATCTCCATCCATACAAATTGTCATCATACGTAACGTAATACGTGCTCTGTGATCAGTAGGTAATCAATGATTTAATCAATAAACTTTAATTTTTTAGAGAATTTAATACTGGTCCTGTAGAAGTAGTTCTATGTGAGTAGTAAAATGAACCTGTATAATGTTTGGTCAAGTTTAAAAATTACATCCTGTTAAACATTCAGTGGAACCAAAAACAATAAGTTGGTAGAACTCTATCGATATTTTATAAAAAAATATACATAATAATAAAATATACTCTCATCGCAGTATTTACATATTTTTTTTCGCAAATCTTATAGGTTTAATCTGTTCAATTCTTAGTTGAATCTTGATTGAACATAACAATTTTATTAATATTGTGTATTGTGAACCGAATGTAGGGTATTACGAATTTACCCTATTTTAGGGAGTGTGATGTTAAGCTGGTAACATTTTTTTATTACGCATTTTAATCATACTAAATCAGGGGAAGAACCGTTAAAGGCAAGCTCTGTGAACAAGCTTTATTATAATTTAAGGGTGAGCTAAAAAAAAGGATTTTGTCTAAAATTTTGGTCCTCAGAGTATTCTTATGTTAATGCTCATTTATTTATGTACAGTTATTTACAATTAATTTACAGTGAACTAAAAAATTAAAAACTCAGATAATTTAAATACTTCTATGGGTCCTCAATTCGGTTGAGTATGTTTAGTTTTTAACATAATAGAGATTTTTTATCCTATTTTATAGCAAAGTTAAATTATTAATAATAATTTACTTGCTTTAAAAGGAATTATTAATTCATGCTTCTTTGCTCTATCTTTCATTAATTAATAAATAAATGACATAGGCCTCCTTAAATGATTTTTATATTAAAGCCAGGTTGGTAGGGTCTGCATACAGCTACCTTTATTTATGAAGAAGCTCAACGTAGGTGTAGGTGTTATCTCAAACAGAGCGAGCCACAGTCTGGGGCGGAGCCGCGAAAGAATGTCTACTAGGCTGTCTAGCTCGGACAATAACTCGCAGCACCGTCCCAAAGACTTCGGGAGGACACCGTCAGGTTTTAGTGAGTAGGCCCTGCCCATCTGGCAGGGAGAGCCTTACATAACCCACTGGTTCCCCCGAGCCAGTGGGTAGGTATGCAATTTCATGCATTTCCTGACGAAAAAAAAAAGGTGCAGGTGTTATGGAGAGGGCTATGCTCGGCGTGTTTAAGATATTGAATCACAAATGAGGAGATCCGATCGCCTACATAGCAACGGATTAGCAAGCTGGAGTGGCAATGGGCAGGGCATATTGTAGGTAACGCAGAACTGACGGCCGATGGGGCAGCAAGGTTCTGAAGTGGAGGCCACGTACTGGAAAACGCAGCGTAGGACGTCCACCTACAAGGTGGATCGACGACTATTGACAAAGTAGTGACAAAATCCTAAAAACGATTGTTTTTATAACAGACTAGCTTTCCGCGTGGAATTTTATCTGTTACAGAAAAACTTTATGGCGCGCGTCCTTGTTTCAAAAACCGGGATTTCATCAAAATCGGTTCAGTGGTTTAGGCGTGAAAGCAAGACAGACAGACAGAGTTACTTTCGCATTTATAATATTAATATGGTATAGATGGTTTGTCAGACATAAAAAAATAGTTATCCAATTTGGGACAATAGATTAAAGTAATTAAATATTTAAAGGACTATGGAATTAAAACACATCAATAAAAATAGAATATAAATTTATTTTCATATATGTCACAACAATATTCAACAAGGTTGGTAAAATGCTTATCATTTCTCACTTAACAATTTTAATAAAATAGAAATTGATTACCTACATAATAATGTTTTTTTTTTATTATTGCTAATTGATATAATATAGTTTATTTTAATAATAAAGAGGCACTTGATACATTACTATAAAAGGCATAAACATTCTGCGACAGTGATTCATTAAAAATTATGTCCTATCCTATTATTGAACTCGATTCCAAAATGCCCATAAACCCTCACTACCTATACCTATAGCTTAATCAATCATTTTTATGTATATTTTTTTCTTCTAAATCTACTATTTTTTCTTTGTATAAAATGAAAAGGAATGCCCTATTTTATACATTTTTTAAAAAATGACAAGGACTGCGTATGATTTTTTATGTAACCTTATTTTTCCACTAAAGGCTATGTAAGATAACATGTATGGACGCACCCTAAGACTGAGCTGGATCAGAGCAGAATTTTCAACATTTTTGTCATATTTAGATATAGGCCATCGGACGCCTAAAATGTATGAAACAAAGCTCCACCTCACCCGCCTTGAATCTAAGATTTATTCATAAAAATGAGTAGTGTGTATAGAGACATCGAACAATCGTTAAATCGAGTTCGATAAAATTGATTATTGGAATCGAATACGTAGTCATGATACGTCAAATACTTAGTCATAAAATAAAAGATAAAGGCACAAGTTTGAAGTCAGCTACACACAGCAACTTACAGCAAGCGACACGTCGCCGAGACGCACTGGTTCCGATAGTTCTATGAAATACCTCTAGCTAAAGCCTGGTCCGTGAGCACGTAGAATTTTGTCCAATGACCCCAAGCTACCCATCCTTATCGCTCGCGCGTAATTATATTGCTGTCGCGACTGTGCGACGGGCGCCCGCAGTGAGTGTGCGAGCGCGACAGCAACATAATTACGCGCGAGCGATCATTGGACAAAATTCTACGTGCTCACGGACCAGGCTTTAGATGATATATCGCTAGCAACAGAAGCACTTAGAAACCAGTAATGTCGCGACGACTAGTCTGCTGCTGCTGAGTGGAGTAGACTACGAAGTCATACCTTTATTTTAAGTACCTATCTATAAAGTGCGAAATGTAGAAACTTAAGTAGGGGCCTACTAACTACAACTACAGAATGAAATTAACCACGAACTTGCAAGAACAACACAACAACAACACATATCACACTGAACTTTTTTTACTATATTTTTTTAACAGCAGCCTTAGTTGTGTAGTATTTTGTAAATGGTTTTAGAGCTCATACACTCTTATAAATGCAGTTCGGTAAAACAATTATTTGCAAAATATAGCGAGTATAATCGATCAAATGTGGCCTTGTCAAAGTATTGCTTTGATAAATTGAATTGTTATCACAGAATTTCCAGAGCCAAGATATCGTATTCAAATTACGTTATAAATGTTGCTCGAGACTAATCAATAATTAAGTAGTATCGTATCAGTATGAAATCTGTCCGTTCGAATAGTTTTGTTTGTCAGTAAGTAAACCATTTAAGGCTTTTCAGTTTAGCCTTTGGCAAAAGCCAGCAGCGTCGTTTTTAACATTGTATAAATGTGGCAGTTATTTTATTAAATATCTACGGGAACCTTTTACATTAAACTTATTCTATAAATTGGCATTGTACATAGGTAAGCCATTCCTTGCGTTATAGATTGAAAGAAAAAGGAAAAGTTCTACAATTAGCACGAACTAACATAATAACGAAACTATATGTTTACCTTATATAGTAGCAAAGTGGTAAACTGAAACTTGCAATAAAACTAACATAATGAAATAAGCAACATTATACTAGTGTTTAAAAAAAATAAATCAAATAAATCAAGAGGCGAATAGTCGTTCTGACTTGTATTACGTACAGTTCACATTCTGGCAACCAATTTGAGTCATAAAAATCTAAAACTTATACAATACAGAGGTCTTTGGCCACGCACTAGTCACAGTATTTTCTAATAATTTTTGCTGCTTCATTCTGGCCTATCTTCTCAAGAACCAGAGCTAGAGTCCTCGACGTTACATTATTTTCTCCGCACTCCTGAAATAATTAAAAAAATATTAGTATTGAACACAATAAAATTGAGCTATGAAGTAGACTGGTTTTCAAAAGAAAACCATGTTCGCGAACGTGGAGTAGGAAGCTTATCTGCTCGTGAACTGACTAGGTACTTCATGTAGATAACTGATAGTGATGGTTGCGTAATGAGGGCTATCGTTTTTATACTTAACAGTTGGCACCCCTGGCGATTGACAGGACCTTACTCTACAGTGGCGCCATCTTGATGAGTGCAAATACGATAGTCCTCCTACCACTTTCGCGCTCACCAGTTGGTGGCACTGTCTTCACTACTAGCAAGTGACAGGACCTTACTCTACAGTGGCGCTAACTGGTGAGCGCTAAAACGATAGCCCTCATTCAAACCAGCGTTCCTCAGATCTTAGCGTAGATCGGCGTAGCGGTTTGCGCCGCGCATGAGACAAGCGACAGGGGCAGGAGAGCGCTACCGTTATGTGATTTATGCCAGTTTTCATCATCTATGAGTAATTTTAAGTGACTCCTGTGAAAACAAAATGCATTTTTTATGTTACCATAGGGGTCACATAAAAATTAGCGATTGATGGTGAAAACGGGCATAAATCTCTGTCTGCTGTCTCGCTTACAAACTTGCATATACCACAGAATAATAATAAGTACTACGTACAGAAGTTTTACTTCGCGAAGGTATTTAAAAAAATGTATGCTCAATGTCATTAACAATATGGTGTAATTTAGCCTGTCTCAAGAGTCAAGCACCATTTTGTTGACAAACGTCAGTGATCGGCACTGCGCCGAAGCTATAGGGCTGACTTCGGTAAAACGATGTGACGTGAGGTGCCAAACTGCGGAAAATGACGGAGGAAATACATGATTTAGCATGAATTATCATGAATAATATTAACTACTTATTTACTTCTCAAGTGTCTTGAGGCAACTTAAAAAAGTACATTCTGTGTTTTTATTATTATTTAGGCAGTTAAATACTGCACAGTATTTAGTACACCATTTTCTTTATTTTCTTCCATCATACACAAGAATACGCGTGCGTGAGTCAATGTTCGCTCGTATGTGAGGCCTTGTCGAATAGTGTCCTGTAGGTGGGCCATCGTGCGTGTTTTGTTTTCGATGTAAACTCGCGGAGATGAACAGGCCTGCTTATACCCGTTACATTGCAGCTACTTGGCATATAAGTCAAGTAACGGTCGCGGTCTCCCGTCTTGGTCACTTGTCTCGGTCGGAGTACCAGGAGTGCAGCGCCTCTAGTTCCAGGTGCGAGCCAGCGCCTGCAGCCGCTGTAGCGTCGGTACCTTGACGTGGTAGAGCAGCGTGCGCGCCGGGCTGCGTGTGTTGGAGTACCAGGAGTGCAGCGCCTCTAGTTCCAGGTGCGAGCCAGCGCCTGCAGCCGCTGTAGCGTCGGTACCTTGCAGGTGCGAGCCAGCGCCTGCAGCCGCTGTAGCGTCGGTACCTTGACGTGGTAGAGCAGCGTGCGCGCCGGGCTGCGCGTGTTGGAGTACCAGGAGTGCAGCGCCTCTAGTTCCAGGTGCGAGCCAGCGCCTGCAGCCGCTGTAGCGTCGGTACCTTGACGTGGTAGAGCAGCGTGCGCGCCGGGCTGCGCGTGTTGGAGTACCAGGAGTGCAGCGCCTCTAGTTCCAGGTGTGACGCCAGCGCCCTCCAGCCGCCGCTGGCGTCCAGCGCGCGCGATAGCTCCTCCACGTATAGAGGCAGGTCTGACAGGCCGCATGCCTCCTGCCAAGGAACGATAGAAACTATTGAATCAAGTAGTACAATAAATAAAATCAATAAAAACTATGTGCGAGATGGATAAAGAAGGAGATGCGATAAGAGCGAGATCGGGATGTTCTGATACCGGTTTTAAAAATGGAAAACTTGAAAGAAGAACGGTCACGCCCCATACAAAAAAAACCCAGACCCGACAGAAACGAGACATACCTCAGTTTTTTTGTCATGTCTTAATTAGTTAAATTATATATTTTTTATATTCGAAATCTATGTATAACACCAAAATATTACCCTTTGTTTTTGTTTAGGCGTTATACAAAAACTAATACAAAATGCTTATTTATCACCAAAATTGGTAAATGTATGTACCTAAATGTCTATTACAGCTGCTATGGAATGTATCTAGGTGACCTGGAGATACTGGAGATAGTGTGGCTTAATGACTAACGCCCTCTTATCGGCTTGTCCATGGCCAGCTGACTATAGAGTAGAAGTGATGCAATGACTCACGCCTTCGTCTTCGGGCTCGTCGTCGGGCTCGGACTTGACGTCGTCGTCGAGCGGGGACTCGGGCACCGCCGGCTTGTCTATGGCCAGCTATAGAGTAAGTAAGTATAGGTACAATGACTCACGCCTTCGTCCGCGGACTCGAACTCTTCTTCGGGCTCGGACTTGACGTCGTCGTCTAGCGAGGGCCGGGCACCGCCGGCTTGTCTATGGCCAGCTATAGAGTAAGTAAGTATAGGTACAATGACTCACGCCTTCGTCCGCGGACTCGAACTCGTCTTCGGGCTCGTCGTCGGGCTCGGACTTGACGTCGTCGTCTAGCGGGGGCTCGGGCACGCGCGCGCGCATCGCGTCACGCACAGCCGGCTTGTCTATGGCAAGCTGCCACGCTGAGGCGCCGTATTCTTCGCGCTTCAGCGGGTTTGCCTATGAACACACGTAGGTATATTAATTTATTTAATTACAAACTTTTTGACATGACAGGATTGAGATAAGACAAGATAAGAAAAACTTTATTTGACACAAAAAGAAAAAATAAAAAACAGAACAAAGGGACTTAAAACTATACACGCATATTTTTGTGCCAAAAAGGCACCCAATAAGGATAAAATAAGGATTAACCCAATGCGATGGTGAAGTAAAGGTAAGTTCATTCAACCCATAAAGTTAATATACCAAGCGGAATAGAGCAACAAAGGACTTGTGCGAGATGTCACTAGCAGCAACACTATGTGATAAAAAGATATGCGTGATGCGACGTAACAGAACCATCAGAGTAATTTTTTGCTACTATTTGACAGTTCGTTAGCACTAATTGGCACGCAAAAAATTTGAGGTCTGACTAATGAGATTTTTCAAATTTTACGTGAGTGAAATCGTGGATGTTTATGAGAAATAGTGCTTCAGAAACGTGGTGACTAGTTCAGTGATTGATTACAAAACAGTGTACTAATCCTGAAAACTGACACACAAATGACATCCAGTGACACCATAAAATCGCTTTTGTTTGACAGCTCGTGGTTGTTGCTCTATTCCGAAGGAATATTTACCTTTATGATTCAACCACTTATTTAAAAAGTTACTAGTATTGGTAAAACAGTTACGATGCAATGGCCAGTGACGTGCATCTTTGACAGCCAATTGTCAACTTACTCCCTTCTCAAGCAGCAGCTCGACCATGGCGAGAGTGTTCTCTCTCATCTCGCCGTCGCAAGCAGCTTGTAACGCTGTGTAGCCGCTCCCGTTGATGGCGTCCACTTCACCCTGCAACAATTGTTTAATTAGAATTGAATTGACACAAAAATGCCAATATAAAAGAAGCAACCTTTATACTATTTTCTCAGCCGAAAAACGTGCACCGATGGACAAAGACCTTCCTCTCCCAAGGATTTTCACAACAATCGGTTCTGCGCTTCCTGTGACCTAATGATACTTGTTCATCAGTCTACCGAGTTGCCAGTACTACGTCTTCCTTGACTGGTCTAATTGGAGAGCTTTACTGCTCCAACGGCCATCAGTTCTACAAGCCATGTGGCTGTCCACTGCCATATAACTTTAGACATTCTGCAAAGTCAAAGTCAAAATTTTCTTTATTTGTTTAGACTAATAAATAGTTCTTACTTCTTGCATGTTAGATCAGTAATTTTATAGTCTACTAGCGGCCGCCCACGACTTCGTACGCGTGGACCTCTTTTTACCCTCTTAGAGGTTGAATTTTGCAAAATCCTGTCTTGGTGAGTACCTACGTTCTAAAAGGAACCCTCATGCAAAATTTGAGACTCCTAGCACTTGTAGTTTCTGAGATTTCGTGATGAGTGAGTCAGTCAGTGAGCAGTGACCTTTCGCTTATATTTAGATTCTACTGTACGGAACTGAGTAGCCATGTGTTTGAGAACTGGAAAAGATGTACTTCTTCTTCTTCGTCGCTACACTCTTGCCAGAGTATGAGTGCCACTAGTGGTCTAAACTGAATAAATATTTTTGATTTTGATTTTGGACCTGGTCGTGGTCGTTACACCCGGTCCGGTGGCAAGCTTCACAATCCGTCGCCATTCCTCCCGTACTGCAGCCTTTCTTGTGCACTCGTGGAGTGGACTATTGAGTGCGGTTTTGACCTGGTCAGTCCAGCGCATGGGCGACCAGCCGCGCGCTCTTGTGCCCTCAACCTTCCCCTGCACGATAAGTCGTTCAACAGAAGCGACGTCTACACATGTAATATGGCCAAAGAAAGATGTACTAACCGGATGCATGTGTCCCAGCAGCAGCGCGGCGACGGGCAGGCAGTCGTCTAACGCGGCCAGGTGCAGTGTCCCGCGTCCCGTCCCGTCCCGCTCGCCAGCAGTAAGCGAGCGCTCTATACTCACCGGGTGCATGTGTCCCAGCAGCAGCGCGGCGACGGGCAGGCAGTCGTCTAACGCGGCCAGGTGCAGTGTCCCGCGTCCCGTCCCGTCCCGCTCGCCAGCAGTAAGCGAGCGCTCTATACTCACCGGGTGCATGTGTCCCAGCAGCAGCGCGGCGACGGGCAGGCAGTCGTCTAACGCGGCCAGGTGCAGTGTCCCGCGTCCCGTCCCGTCCCGCTCGCCAGCAGTAAGCGAGCGCTCTATACTCACCGGGTGCATGTGTCCCAGCAGCAGCGCGGCGACGGGCAGGCAGTCGTCTAACGCGGCCAGGTGCAGTGTCCCGCGTCCCGTCCCGTCCCGCTCGCCAGCAGTAAGCGAGCGCTCTATACTCACCGGGTGCATGTGTCCCAGCAGCAGCGCGGCGACGGGCAGGCAGTCGTCTAACGCGGCCAGGTGCAGTGTCCCGCGTCCCGTCCCGTCCCGCTCGCCAGCAGTAAGCGAGCGCTCTATACTCACCGGGTGCATGTGTCCCAGCAGCAGCGCGGCGACGGGCAGGCAGTCGTCTAACGCGGCCAGGTGCAGTGTCCCGCGTCCCGTCCCGTCCCGCTCGCCAGCAGTAAGCGAGCGCTCTATACTCACCGGGTGCATGTGTCCCAGCAGCAGCGCGGCGACGGGCAGGCAGTCGTCTAACGCGGCCAGGTGCAGTGTCCCGCGTCCCGTCCCGTCCCGCTCGCCAGCAGTAAGCGAGCGCTCTATACTCACCGGGTGCATGTGTCCCAGCAGCAGCGCGGCGACGGGCAGGCAGTCGTCTAACGCGGCCAGGTGCAGTGTCCCGCGTCCCGTCCCGTCCCGCTCGCCAGCAGCATGCGAGCGCTCTATACTCACCGGGTGCATGTGTCCCAGCAGCAGCGCGGCGACGGGCAGGCAATCGTCTAACGCGGCCAAGTGTAGGGCCGTGCGTCCCGCAGCGTCGCGTGTCCCACAGCCGGCTCCGCCTGCCAGAAGTATGCGAGCGCTCTCGTCGCTCTTGTATATGACCGCCAAGTGCAGGGGCGTTTGTTTCTCTGCAAACCAAATAAATCTATCTATCTTTCCTTAGCATTTCGGGTTCGTCTTCGCCTCGTCTTCAACCTGCCACCGACTTCTGTTCCTGGCCACTTACATCCAGTTTAACCCAAACAAATAAATTGCTCTAAACAACGATTACCAAACGACCCAAACTCACTAAAATAGAATTCGACTTCAGTTCATTGTGCTTACCATGAGTTTACGTTAGGTGTGCTCGCTACCGACTGCGTAAAAAATGACACTCAATGTATTACAGATTGCACAGCGCCCCTAGCGGATACTTCCAAGAACTAAAATGGTCATACTTTTTAGACTCTCTAGCGAACACACCTAACGTAAACTCATTAATATACATACTCGTGAATAAAATTATTATTTATTGGAATAAAGAACTAGATTTCACCTATCAACTGACGTTCTTACAATGGGCTACAAGTTATAACTTACCGTTGTTGCAAGCGTCGAGATCGTACGGTACGTTATTGCTCTTGAGCGCAGTGAGTAGTGGTTCCAAAGAGTTCTGGTAAATCACGGCGTAATGTATCACGTTGTTGCCTTCGCTGTCCTCGATCATTGGGTTGCACCCTGGACAATACATGATCATGCATTATTATTAATTAATAATTAGTATACAGTAACCAATGAAGCATTAATGTAAGTACTATTAGATAAAGCAGGTCGTCACATTTTTCTGTTCAAAGTTAGTATAGTGTCCCATTTTTGGTCTATTCCACTTTAATCATCTGGATTTCATCACCCAGGTGATCAAAATGGACTGCAAGCGACATTTTGGTGTCCTTTGATCACCCTTAGGTGATCAAATCCAGGTGATCAAAATGGAATATACCGCTTTTTTCGGGGCATGAGGGATGCTTCAACCGAGCGCACACTTTATTTAATTCCCAGTTTTATAAAATATGATTTATGAATTCATTTTGGAACAATGTTTTTTTTTCTAGGTTTACCAACTCCTTCCTTCCTCCAGCATTTAGTAAAAGTCCAATATAGAACAATATTTAAATTCCTACTAGATTTGAGATGATGAACTTACCTTTAGATACAAGGAAAGACACGGTTTTCGGCATATCATACACCACGGCTAAATGTAGAATAGTTTGCGACTGATTGTTCGTCAAATTGAGCAAATGGGGCATCTTCATACTATGGATGAGCTTGACAATGTAATCCAGGCTTGGCTGCTTGCTGCACAATGTCATATGGAGAAACCTAAAACAACGCATAGGTTAAGAATGCAAACATAACGCATAGATAAAAAAATTACAGGTTACCCCAACGTTTTTACAAATAAAACTTTTTTCAAGTGATAAAATGTTGCCAACTTCGGAAAAATGACATTTGAAAAAAAAAATTAAACATTTAATTTTTAAGTCTATTTTTGTCATATATTTTATTCTTTAAAAATACTTACGTGTCTCCATTGGACAGCCTCATTTTGAAGAGCCTTTCAAGTTTCTCTTTGACTATTGGCCTCTTGACATTTGATTTGTCCCTTATCATCTCGCACAACTCCTTAACCAGCTAAAATGACGTAACCATGACAAAACATAATTTTGAATATTTCCGCTTAACTAATAAACCACTTGCCTATCAACTTCACAAGACATCTACTATTGATCTACTTACAGTACATGATCACTATGATATAGTTACGATAGTGTACTTTTGTGATACATAATATGAAATGAAGTGAAAGGATAGTGCCAATCCATGTATGGAAGTTGGAACAAGTGCCGCCCAGAATGAAACCATAGTGCATTTGTTCCTCAGGCCAAAAATAATGTATTGTGTAAACCGGAGCGCACTAAAGTCTATCCCTGGAGTTAAGAGAAAAAAAGAGTTTTGTTTTGAATTTTATTTACTTACGAAAAATAATCGATATATGAGTACTACGCATAAGATCTCGCGATTGTGGCATCATAATAACACGCGCTATGTTGAACTTAACTGTACTGCAATCCGTACACCTTACTTTGGCATTATCCTTTGTTTTTGTTGAATTTTGATCAAGATTTGGCAGTTATTACAGATAGAAAGCATGGGTGGGCGAGAAATTCACATTACGTATTCATTGCGTTGGCGTGCGGAATGGGATGACGACTCGGTAAAGGTTCAGTCAAAAAAGAATTTCTAATTCATTAAGGTTCAGACAAACCAACTCGATCACACGCGAACAGCCGACGTGCAGCGATAGCGATCGATGCATTTAAGTCTGATCGCCATCGCTGCACGTCGGCTGATCGCGTGTGATCGCGTTGGTTTGTCTGAACTTTAATGAATTAGAAATTCTATTTGGTCCGTCATACAGATAATGTCACAAAAAGTATGCTGTCGTAACTATATCATAGTGATCATGTACTGTACGTAGATCAATAGTAAATGTCTTGCAAAGTTGATAAATAAGTGTGCCAAGAGTTAATGAAGAACTACTCAACAATATATTTTGGCATAAGCACGACACTGCCATCAACTAACGATATCATATGTAGATGATATACCTGAAAATTCCGACACAGTTCGAGCAAGCTGTAAGGTCTGAGACTTTACAGCTTGTCTACTAAACGTAACAAATAATTTTAAAAACAAGCTTTAATATTGAATTTAGTGTGATATTTAAAACTTTATTTTTCAAACCCTTTCTTAGATACCCATGTACCCAATATGTAATCCGCCATCTTGGAGCGAGGGTCATATTTAAAATAATACAATACCGAGTATTGCACATTGCAAGTTAAATGAAAGCTTGTAAATGAGTAATTTATGTAAGTAAAACTATAATTATTTCTGAATACTATCAATATTAGACTAGAAGTCTCTGTACTAAGCATATTATGCTTTATGTGTAGTGAGTGAAGTAGAATTACCGTTAAAATATAAAACAGTTCTGTATAGCACAACCTGTTTAACTTTAAATAGTATTAGGAACAACAATAAGATAACAAAAAATAGGAATAAACTAAGGAGTTTCTAGAATATTTCTAAAATAGCTATAACAACTAGACAAGATTTCACAGTGTCGTTTGTATTTATTGTTGTTGTCCTTTACCTTTTTCACTTCAGCCCCATCCTCTGCTTTGTAGAAAGCAGTATATTCACCAATGCCTTTGGGTTTGTCCACGGGATTTGATATCTTTTCTTCCTTTTCACCAATTCGTTGCTTTGATCCCGTTTCATTTGAGCTCTGATAGATACATTCAAATATAAGTTTATGTAGAATAAAACAAGTTATTTGAATATTTTTTAATCAATAAAACTTACGTTTCCTTTCCCGGAGTCACTAGACAACAAAGAACGCACGATATCTATACTGTAGGATGAGCCGTGCTGTAAATAAAAAAAGATTTATCATTAGGAATTATACAGGTAGCATTTGAAATCTGTCATTATTTATCACTTAAGTAAATACTCACTGTTTCTCCGATGTCCGTCACACTGTCGGTGAACTTTAGATATTCTGTAAACAAGGATAAAATTCGTTTAACCGCATAAAAATATGAACTAGGTACTGATTAAAATGTGATTCCCCGCGATATAGTTCACAATGTTTATTGCCAAAAGATAAGATAATCTACAAAATGGTTCACAACTGAAACTATGAAAGTCAAAATACTTGCATAATACCGGTCATAGACATATGACGTATAGATTCCCTAAAACTACGTGTTATGGAAGGTCATTTTCAAAAACATACAAGTAAAAAGGCGGCCAAGCTTTCTGTTGTGATACATTTGTACTAAGAACTGTCGTCCATTATTTGAGCTATACCAGGCCTGTTCATCTCCGCGAGTTTACATCGAAAACAAAACACGCACGATGGCCCACCTACAGGATACTATTCGACAAGGCCTCACCTCACATACGAGCGAACATTGACTCGCGCAGGCGTATTTTTGTGTATGATGGAAGAAAATAAAGAAAATGGTGTACTAAATACTGTGCAGTATTTAACTGCCTAAATATTAATAAATACACAGAATGTACTTTTTTAAGTTGCCTCAAGACACTGAGAGGTAAATAAGTAGTTAATATTATTCATGATAATTCATGCTAAATCATGTATTTCCCCCGCCATTTTCCGCAGTTTGGCACCTCACGTCACATCATTTTACCGAAGTCAGCCCTCTAGCTTCGGCGCCATTCGGCGCAGTGCCGATCACTGACGTTTGTCAACAAAATGGTGCTCGACTCTTGAGACAGGCTAAATTACACCATATTGTTAATGACATTGAGTATACATTTTTTTAAATACCTTCGCGAAGTTAAACTTCTGTACGTAGTACTTATTATTATTCTGTGGCTATACCTACTTATTTGCAAAAACAGTTTTAAACATATTTACAAAACACGTATGTAATTGCTTTCTAAACTTTCAAAAAATAAAGACATGTGACTTTTATAAAGCAACTGGCCATTCGTTTGGAAGCTTGGCATGGAGGGGCAACCGTATAATATGACCTCATCGAGTTTACTAAAGCTACTCAGAGACGCGCGGGGTATTTACTAACGGGGAGTTTCTTTCAAACTTACCAGACTAATCGGCAGGGTGATTCGTCGTTTGGAAGCGATTAAATAGCGCAACCAGGCGATATGACTCTTTAAGCTGGTGAAGATAACGCATTTTTACTCGAGCGATTCGAATCGCGCGATCGTGAGATACTAGAGTTCATACATTCTTCCAGCTCATTTTATGTTACCATACCAGTCAGCAGATTGATCCGTCCTTCGGAGTTAATAGGCGAGATAACTAACAGGGCAGATATGTATCATCCTAGACTGCATCCCACTTAACACCAGGTGCGATTGTCAAATACCGCTGCTTGTTATGCATAAAAAAAAAACTCAAACTTTTTTCTTACTTACCAGACCAGTCAGCTTTGCAGAAGCGTTCCTTTTCTTCAGCCGGGATGCTGGGGTTGTCTTTTAAGAGGCGATCCAGTTCCGTAGAGTTCAGCTGTAGGTCTGGTGGGTCAGCCACACCTTGAGGCATCATGGGGCTATCATAGAACTGGGTGGAGGGACTGCCTTCCGCGCGCATTCCGTATAGTATCGCTTCGCCGAGGTCGCTTGAGCTACTAGGCGACGCGTGCGGTATTTGAGGCAGCTGGAATTTTGACAATAATGTTAATAACTTTTAAGAAATCCTGTAGATCTTGGCTACATAGGTGTAGCAGTGTTGGGGACGAAGTGGGAAAAGTCCCGTAACTTTTACACACGACTTGGACCGCGTTAATTTCAGTGTGTCACAGAAAGTTATCGCACGCGGGATGCACGCCTTTTGAAAACCGGGATAAGAACTAATGTGTTTCTCTGCGTCTTAAACTATGTGTTCTCAAAATCTGTTCAGTAGTTTTTGTGTGTAAGCGTAACGAATATTAAATAAATAAACAAGTAGCGTTTGTCTTAATCAAAAACAATTTTATATTACTAACAAGAAAATGTATGATTCCCGTAAATTGAATCTGAACAATCTAGATCTAAGCAAAATGATTTAGTTAAAATATTTTTTTGAAAATTGTAATTTGTCATGTGTTTTATAAAATAAAATGAAATAAAACTTTTAGCTAACTTTGCGCCTAAGGACCTAACTCAGGTACATATCCTAGGTCCCGTATATCACTACACCGAAATTTATTAATTTAAAATAGTAAACAATTACCTGAGGTATAGTACACATCTGCACGTCATGAACCAGATTATCATTAGCATTTTCATTGGCGTGTTGCTGCAACATAGAAATATTTATGCAATTAATTATCAATGCAATTATTAATTTAACTGGTGCGTCACTGAAACTTATATCGCAGGAACGTTAGGTACATGACGAATAATATTATATTTCTATTAATAAAACAACACTCACATTCATGTACAATAGAACGGTAGCTGGCACTTCGCCGTTGCTTTTGAGGGAATCTGAAAGAGCAAATTATGTAATTTAAAACAGTAATTGCTGTTAACCCTTAACGGTAAATGCAGATTGACATTATGTTTTGATTTTCGATCTAAAGACAAAAATGTGGTGGGTAACTTAGATTAAATTGATCTATAGTTTAGCTAACGTAAAAGCACTCGACATAAATGGAAATGTCACATTCAACAAGTATTGATTGCTTTTCGCGCTTATGAGAAGACGATAAAGTTCTAATTACTACAGTACCTCCTATACAGGGTGGAAACGATAAGTGATCTCACTCGATTATTTATAAACTATACAAGATTTCGAAAAACTGGTTACTGATCCTGAAAGTGCTTCACGAGCTCTTTCAAACGGTACCAATAATAGGTTACAGAATTAACTGGATCTATCCGAAAATTCAATGTTTTCAACCTCCCTACTAAATGTATGCCAGCCACACAATATTAGAAGATTTTGAAGTGTTAATTTTTTTTTAATTACATAATAAACACTTACAATGAACTCGTAAATTCCATTCTTATTTAAAATTATTCATGGAAAACATTGGTTTTAGGCTTTACTTGCTATAACATTATCAAGACATGAGCGCCATGACTGTGGCAGTACTAAATGTATAAAAACTGGAAACATTGAATTTTCGGATAGATCCAGTTTATTTTGTAACTTATTATTGATACCGTTGGATAGAGCTCGTGAAGCACTTTCAGGATCAGTAACCCGTTTTTGGATATCTTGTATAGTTTTTAATATTATGTGGTTTTACTAAATGTATAGAAGCTGGAAACATTGAATTTTCCGATAGATCCAGTTTATTTTGTAACCTATTATTGGTATCGTTGGATAGAGCTCGTGAAGGACTTTCAGGATCAGTAACCAGTTTTTGGATATCTTGTATAGTTTAGAAATAATCGAGTGAGATCACTTATCGTTTCCACCCTGTAGATAATATGTTATACTCAATATTTCATAAAAAATGAATATCGTCTTTTTCATCAGTAGTGCTTGTATGAAATATAATAAAAAAACAACAGTTTTTATGACTATTCTTCCCAATGCCATACACACGTATTCACTTCATCACAACGTACGGTGATTCATATTTCCAAAAAACTTTAAAAAAAAATTTGAAGTTTCAACTTGCAGTAAATTATCGGAGTCCTTGAGACTTACGCCCGTATTCACAAACATTATTATGAGGCGTCCCAGTGCGCGTGGACGCACAGGGTGACACACGAACTAATCAATAGCCACAACCAATAGCCACGATATCCCAACGGTGAAGTGGTCGGACTGGCCGACTCGAGATCCGAGGAACGCGGGTCCGAATCCCAACGCCGCTCGACTATTGTGGTGCGCCCACTCGTAACACAAGCTTATTTAGCTTACCACGAGGCGCGAGGGGCTAAAGGGACTATTAGTAATTTGTACAATACAAATTGCTAGTAATCTTTAAAAAAAACACAGAGCTCCATTCAAGGCTGTGCGTTCGATTTGCTGATTCACTTAAGCAAGCATCGTTTGTGAATACGGGCCTTAATGTTACATGTGAAGTGACATGTTTTTTGGAGCCACTTGAAATCCAAAGGAATTTCAAAGACAAATGCAAGCTCTTGAAGTGTCGGCTCCACAAAAAAGGCATAATAATTTGATAGTAACTGTTAGAAATGCGTACAAGCTCTAAAATATAACTTCATTGGTATTATCCAAAAACGAATCATCAAATTGCCAATAATTGCAATTAAAATAACCACAACAGGCCACGGGACTTTTTTCTCCAAAAAGAACCGAATATTATGACATGATTCATGATCATGATTCCCACAGAGCACGGAATCGCCCTGTGATGATTCCCGTCGAACCGAGGCTATGTTACCTCCTTAAAAAGCATTGAGAAATGTTCGATAGAAATGTGCACCGTATGCCCCAAGGCATTGGCACCTAATTAGATAAGCAAAGTGTTTTTAAACAAAACTCTTTGCATAAAAATAAATACAAACAATAATGTGCTAAGAATGGTCTCCGGCTTTGCATATTTATGGAGTGACTAGCGGCTGCCCGCGACTTCGTACGCGTGGATCCCGTTTTACCCCCTTAGGGGTGGAGTTTCGTAAAATCCTTTCTTAGCGGATGCCAACGTCATAACATCTACCTGCATGCCTTTCAGCTCGATCCGTCTAGTGGTTGGGGCTGTGCGTTGACTTACTTGACTTATGGTCCTATGTCCCCTAGATGGGGCAGAGGGCGTCCACAACGTTAATAGATCACTATGTCAGTCAGTCAGTTTTATATATGTATTTAGATTTATATGCGAATTGGGACTCAAATTGTTTAAAAATACTCTATAAACATAACCGTTTGGCCAATTCTTATGTATGTGTATATTCAGCAGGTCTGAGAAATAGGACGTAAAGTATTTATCGTACCCCTAAGCGATAAGGGGTTTTCACGCGCACGAAGTCGCGGGCACAGATAAAATATGTTAGGTCACACTTCCAAGTTACTCACACAATTTGTTTACGGGACGATCTTTAGCCGGCCCGGTGCAAAACGCCGGCAATCCTTATTCACAATCAAAGTTTCTACCTCACTCGTTTCTTTGCCAGCTTTAATGACATCATAGGAACAATCAAATGAAATACGAGTGTAGAGGGTCTTTTTACAATAAAACGCCTGTAAATTCCTACCCAGAAATGCCTATTCACTCTCGCCTTGAGACCCGGATTACAGTGTCTAGGAAAGACATCAGCAGGCAGCGAGTTCCAGTCCAGTCCTTAGCTGTTAAAAAAGAGATAGCGATAAAAGAAATTTAACTTACTCGATGAGCTGTAGGATGAATATGGAGAATTCGCCTTCCTTTTCTTTCCGGGTGTGTTAGACCGTCCGCCATACTTCTCCGGTTTGTATTCGAACTCCTTCGGCTCGCTCGTGCGCCCATCGGAAGGCCGCACTAGTTCTATGTACACCTTCTTGGCGCTCGTTATGTTTTTATCCTTGTATGGGGGGGTACTGTGGACAGAAGAAGAGGTGAAAGATACCAACATTTACATGTCAATCGAAGGAAATTATTTTTGGTTTGTTGCCTATTAAAATTATTTAGAGAAAGCAAAACAAATCTCTCTGTCAATCAAAATAAAGTTCTATATCAAGAAAAAGTTTGGTGTTTTGTTGACGTCCTTGACAGCGAAAATACTCTGTTAAAATTGCTACATTAGAAGTTTCGCGGCAAAGGTGTGGCTATTGGAGCAAAATAATGTTAAAATAAAGAATATATTATAAAAGTACTATACCTAAATACAATAGCGTATTGATGGTGTACATCGCTCTGCAAGAAACGTCCATTTGCTGTCCAAACTACCTCTCCACTGTCGTTCAGTTCAAACAGTCTGACCAAAACGTTTTCTAGAATGGAAAGAAACACGAAAGTTCTATTAATTTCTACACCGTAAGCTAAGTAGTTAGTAGGTGTGCCTGAAGAAATTATCAACAATACAGTCACCATGCATACTAATAAAATCAACTGAAATTACAAAAGGATACAAAATTGTGGTCGATTTCATTTACTTCCTTATTCTACTTTTAGATTAACTAACAATCAACCGTTTGTACTAAATGTTTGTCAAATAGTTGTTACAAAAATTAATTGGTTAGTAATACAATTTTATCTGTACTGTGATGAACAATATCATGGATTGTATTCCTGTCATATCTATCCCGTCATTTTTTTAGATAAATGAGCACAGTTCCTGTTCAGTTGTGCTAGTGAGTTATACCACAGAATAATAATAAGTACTACGTACCTACAGAAGTTTTACTTCGCGAAGGTATTTAAAAAAATGTATGCTCAATGTCATTAACAATATGGTGTAATTTAGCTTGTCTCAAGAGTCAAGCAAGTTTGTCAAAAGTTTTGTTGACAAACGTCAGTGATCGGTACTGCGCCGATGCTATAGGGCTGACTTCGGTAAAATGATGTGACGTGAGGTGCCAAACTGCAGAAAATGGCGGAGGAAATACATGATTTAGCATGAATTATCATGAATAATATTAACTACTTATTTACCTCTCAGTGTCTTCAGGCAACTTAAAAAAGTACATTCTGTGTTTTTATTATTATTTAGGCAGTTAAATATTGCACAGTATTAGTACACCATTTTTTTATTTTTTTCCATCATACACAAGAATACGCGTGCGTGAGTCAATGTTCGCTCGTATGTGAGGCCTTGTCGAATAGTACTCTTGTAGGGGGCAATCGTGCGTGTTTTGTTTTCGATGTAAACTCGCGGAGATGAACAGGCCTGGTTATACGGTTAAGTATGCCTCATAATAGCGAGCAGACAGTACGGTGAGCCAAAAAAAACTAGGTTCATAAGTATAGATTTTATTTTACTTTATTGATGTGTTACATACGTAATAGTTTATATTATTTTGTTATGCCAATGTTCACGCATCACTGGTGACGCTCTTTTCAAGATGGGTCCCACAGAATACCAGCGTTTAGCGTCATGTTCTGGGTTCTACCCTACAGCATGACACAATATGATTGGACACACGCAGAGTGGGTGCCATTTCTGCAGTCTAAAACCTGGCTCGAGCTGTTATCACGCAGTCCTTAGATATGGACTTAAAAATAAATATTGTAGATGTAACACAGTTAAAATCCTACCAATATTGGGTTATAGAAACTATTTTTACTGTATTGCTTTAAAAACTGGACCTGACTTATCGTTGGCACAGCAAATGTTTGAATTGCAATAAGTACCTATTGTAATCAGCTTTACGAACGTGACAAGCCGCGATTATTGCTTCTGGACACCGGTTTGAGAGCCAATGTTTATTAAAGCAATTGCAGCTGTTAGCCTGTTAACTAACGAAATATTTTTCATACATATTTATTTTAGGATTTCTACGTCGTACAACACAACAGGCACAGAAGAAAAAGACAATCCCGATGGTCTCACATCATGGGGAGATTCTATCATTAGAAACACCACCACTTAATTAAGTCTTCAGTTGATTAAAATTGTGTAACATTGTCTTCCCAGTGAGGGTTAGGCTAAATCTTACATTTGCTTCTGAAAAAATATAGAGGGTCGTGCTCCTACAGTGAAACGCTTACATTATTATGACTCGTGCGAAAAAGAATCCTATAAAGTCACTCTGTAACCGGTGTTTTCTGAGAAATTTTAGATTAACTAAGAATATCTATTGTTGTTTAACTAATTTTGTATAGTTTATTTTTAACTTCAGTGGATTTCGTTTATTACGAACATCAATCTGAGTCCCTTGAATCTAAAGCCTAAATTTAGTGCAAAATTAATGTGGTTCTAGCGACTTAGGATGTAGCGCCGAGTTCGGGTTCGTTCGTCTCAGCCGAAAGACGTCCACTGCTGGACAAAGGCCTCCCCCAAGGATTTCCTCTCCATGGGGGGGATTTGCCTTAATCGCCACGCTTGGCAGGCGGGTTGGCGATCGCAGTTTTTTGTAAGGTTTCGCACGCAGACGCTGCTGCCCGTCCGGTGCTGCAGGGATTTTGTCGCCTCTTACGACACGCCTCCTGTTGGCGGTGGGGAAGAGTATTCTTTATGGCCGTCCCCGCACGGCACGAGTTCGGGTGTTTGACTGTTTTTAATAAATAAACAGTCAAAAGATTCTTAGAAATCCCATGCAGATATTGCGAACGGAGTTAGCAGCCAAAAACAAAGTGCTTTCTTATCTTTTGTTTACATCCAGACAGATGGTCAACATCTGTAGTGATCTTTACCTTTTGTTTATAGAAATCAGCTAGGTAAGCGTGTATATTTCGGAATGTATGGTTCAGTTGCATGTTTGTGTCTGCATCTTCTTACCTTTGTAAGGACTTTCGGATAAAACCAGGCCTGTTCATCTCCGCGAGTTTACATCGAAAACAAAACAAGCACGATTGCCCCCTACAGGAGTACTATTCGACAAGGCCTCACATACGAGCGAACATTGACTCACGCACGCGTATTCTTGTGTATGATGGAAAAAAATAAAAAAATGGTGTACTAATACTGTGCAGTATTTAAAAAATGCCTAAATAATAATAAAAACACAGAATGTACTTTTTTAAGTTGCCTGAAGACACTGAGAGGTAAATAAGTAGTTAATATTATTCATGATAATTCATACTAAATCATGTATTTCCTCCGCCATTTTCTGCAGTTTGGCACCTCACGTCACATCATTTTACCGAAGTCAGCCCTATAGCTTCGGCGCAGTACCGATCACTGACGTTTGTCAACAAAACTTTTGACAAACTTGCTTGACTCTTGAGACAAGCTAAATTACACCATATTGTTAATGACATTGAGCATACATTTTTTTAAATACCTTCGCGAAGTAAAACTTCTGTACGTAGTACTTATTATTATTCTGTGATAAAACGGTGAAATTGCAGTGATTCCTTCATCGTCGTTCCGAAATCTTTTATTCTGACAATAAAGGTAGGTACCTAATGTGTGAACCGTTGGAAGGATAGGGGTAATCAGATGTCCTAAAACAGTGTGACTTGAGATTTTTTCCGGGGCGGCAACTATATGATTTGACGATGATGATGATGATGACCAACTTACTTTTATTGACTTTTTCCACGAGCAAGAATACATCTTCATTGCCGCTGGCGCGTCCGCATGAGCGGCTCGCGCGGGTGATCTTCAAATCATTGGTGGCAGCACTTTCTGTTCAAAAACCATACGAATGACAAGGTAAATAGAAATTCGAAAACCATAACATAGAAATTGTTCCATGGCGTCATTTTAGATTAGCACTATCATTCAACGAACGGATTTCCATCTGAATAAAATAGACTTTTATTACATCTGCAGTTATAATAACTAAAATATATTAATTATACTCGTATTGAGAAAAAAAAAGGAAATGGGAATTGTAGATATGTAACTTAAAATTTAAATGCATCTTTGTCGTTTGTTTGAAGTCTTCGAAAACATAATGATTGATTCATGAATATTGCAAGTGGCTTGACTACGTATTTTTATTTATAAATATCAAAACTCACTCAAGTTGTGTATAGGTTTTGAAAACACCGGTGGGCAGATCTCTTTGTTAGTTAAGAGGTCGTGAGCGCTGAACCTCAGTCGCACGATGTTGAGATCTATACTCTTCGCCTCGTTCTCGCAATGCATGCGGAGCTACAAGAGAAATAGTATTATAAACACTTACCGCATCTGCAATAGTACATTGTCAATCGGCTCGTTAAAAACAAATATATTGAACACGAAACTTGAAACTTCTTGTTTTGTTGTATGCGCAAGCGCACGTCCCGCGATAGGCGGGCGTACGCATAACGTCACCGGCTCTACTAAGCCGAACTCTGAAGCGCTTTTCAACGCTACGTAGAATCCTACTACCACTATTGTGACCATGTGGAGTAATTTTACAGGACACGGACTTGAACTAGACTGAAAACTGTTTGCTTGTAGTTTTAAATGTTCGTAAAATGCAATAGATGGTTTTTGTACCACACATGGTTTTTTTCACATAAGCAAAAAAATTGCGTCATCCTCGCAATGAGAGATAACAAGCTGACCACTACATTTTGGCGTTCTAAAAGTTAAACACTGAAAGTAACTTTTGAAAGATGAAAACAATTTTTGAAAATATTTACGATATTAAATATCATCATCGGCATAATGAGATTGTATTGTGAGCCCTATTCACATTTTAATAAGTTCATAGTACAGTATACACACAAACGACCTAATTTAGCTTACATCTGGTCACCCTACAAGTATCCATGTTTGATTGATAACCACCTAATATAATTAAAATGTGCTAAATAAGCTAATTCATGATTCAAAATTAAATTCAATCAAAAACAATACTTGTCAAAAAAACCAAGTCTCGCAACTCAGTTGTTCTACGGTAAAAAGTTGTGAGATCCATGTAATACCAAGTCCAGGCCAGGAAATCTTTAACGTTTTACATAAATATATTGACTTGGCCATCGCATGAAAACACGTGTAAATTAAATTATTTAGTGCGATGGCCAAGTCAATAATTTATGTAAAACGTTAAAGATTTCCTGGCCTGGACTTGGTATTACATGGATCTCACAACTTTTTACCGTAGAACAACTGAGTTGCGAGACTTGGTTTTTTTGACAAGTATTGTTTTTGATGGGATTTTATTTATTGGAAACAAGACAACAAATTGAATAAATTGATTAGATACGATCAATATGCTGTCGTCACGTCACATAAGTTTGTTTTAGCTGAATATTTAAACTTCTGCCCCCTTATTACATAAAGTTTAACTCTACTTTAAATTGACATTCAGTATGGAAATGTAATTTTAAAGCATTGCGCATACTACGTTTTCGTATTATGGGGGGCTAAAGTTTATTTCAATAAATGAGAGAAAACTGCAACACTGACGCAAAATAAATAAAAACAGTGGTTCCGATGATGTAAAGACAAAGAAGGTCAAAATAAAAGTAACATAATGAAAGTTAATAAAAACAGTAAAGGGTTTTGGTGTTGTTTTCATAATAACGTCATAGTTACACGAGATGACAATCATAGGACAACGTGTAAACATTAGCAATCTATCAAAAACTACTAAATCCCAAAACTACTTAAGTAGCCTTATTGTTACAACAGTGATAGTGAAGTAGGTACTACATAGTTAAGTTTCTATCATATAAGATTGCAATATCAGTGGATTACAAAGTTCTAAGAATATCTACCTACCTACTTAACTGGTGCAGCAGGGCCCTTCACTAATCTATAACAAAGGCTTGTCGTTTAGTCACAAAAATATTGATTTATCATTGCGGTTCCATTATCTTACTTGATAAATTTTACACGCGCCAAAATTCGCCCGTGAACTGCATAGATTCGCGAACACAAAGTTTCGACGCGACGATACTAGGTAAATAAGGCATTACAAACACGCTTTATGACATGGTGATAGTCGGTGCCATGTTATTGCAATTTTGAGCGCAAACGGATTAGCTTAGGTAGGTAATTGTTTGAGAAATCGTTTAAATAGTCATAAATGTGGAGTCTATTTTGTGATTTTTCATTTTCTAATGTTCAATGTAAATGGAAGACGTAGCACGGGCAGGCCTCCTACTAGGTGGACCGACGATCTGAAGGTCGCGGGAAGAGCATGGATGCGGGCAGCGCAGGACCGTTCATTGTGGAAAACCTTGAGGGAGGCCTTTGTCCAGCAGTGGACGTCATTGGGCTAAAACGAACGAACGAATGTTCAATATCGTGCTTTTGAAAGAGGATCAATTAGCACATTCGTTATTTCCTCATTTTCTTTTTGAGTGTATTATTTTCAAGCCCGAGCAGTCTCCTCCTCAGAACGTTTTTCTGCAGCTACGACCGTTTTTACACAGGTGCAAGTCTGCTCTTATTGTCCATTAAAGAATGTATAAAAAATTCACCCTGTATTAAAATCATGATTACTGAATCATACAATTTATAGCGTTAAGACGCCTAAATTGTGCATTATCTTTTGTATATTTCTTTCTATTTCTTTTCTTGTCTTGTGTGATGTACGATAAAGTTCTATCTAAGCCCACCGAATTTGGCACGTCATTTTATACTTGTTGCGACAGCAAGACGATGGAGACAATAGTATGCGAAATAATATCCACCTGGCGACGCTACTATGATTATGTTTCATTACTTTGCCGGCGTTTCGGCTTGTAATTGGTTGATACTGTTGATATTAGAGTCTGCTGAGCATAGTTATCAGTAGACTGCTGCCTATTGATGAAGACGACCATAATGACGGGAGTTCCCATGAGTCGAAAGTTATCCCGAGGTATGTGAGAATTGAATCAAATTTTAATAGTCTCATTTTCAGCTACAACGCCAACGTTTCGAATCCAAAGTTCCATTGAACCTATTAAAAGCAAGTACTAAGTTTCTTCCGCCACTTCACCATCACATTATGTTGTTCCAATGTGTTGGTAGAGCAAGCTATATTTGGGGCTTGTTTATGTGCCCTGAAAAGGGCCTACGCTACTAATATAATTTTACTTTACTACAACAATGCTATCAGGAATTTTTCTACATAAATACTAATTAAATAAAAAAAATAGTCTTCATCCTGCAGTGGGACAAGAAAATAACGTATCTTAAACCCCAACCCCCTTTGATCAGTGTTTAAGACACCGCCTACTGGCAAAAACAAACGACTTGATCGATTAGTGAAGGTTAATACCAATGATTCAAATCCTGACGCACTCAGTAACAAGACAAACGGTAATAAAAAATTCACGGAAGAATGTTTCCTCAACTTCAATGTCGAATGCCGCGGTCAATACCACATTTTGGGCACCTATGTTATGAGTTTAAACTCACAATTGAATTATTATTTGAGTTGATATTTTGAAAATATCGAATATTTTCAATCCTTGAGCTAAGAGTAGAGCTCTATGAAGTTTCACAACAATGGTTGGTTGTTATAATGGAGGATACAGTTACCTTTATTACAATAACATCCGTGTTAGCTACCAAACGTGTCCGAAATGACTACTTAGAAACCTGAATTTAGCCAACTAGCATCCTTTATTTAAATACTTATTATAAAACAAAGCTATTTCCTGTGTAATGATTGACACAGGAAGTAGTTAGACCTACCTAAATAAGTTTTCAGCCTTCATCTTAGTTGTATGGTTTATAGAGAAATAGGTGTAGAGTCAAAAGACCACTCACGAAATAGTAGAAAAAATCTCAAATAACAAACTTACCTCTTTCAAATCTACATTCCTGTTTGTCAATGTTTCTGAATATTTTTTAAAAAGCAACCCAGGAACATCTTTTTTTGCTGTGTGTATTATTCCCATGCCAGCAAAACTAAAGGGATGAAAAAAAATGTTTTGTTTAAATCATAATTTTGTTTAAAAAATTAGAAGTAGAATTTATAAGCTAAAACTTACCCCACTTTATAACTTCCATTTTCAGGCACTTCGTAACTAACATCTCTATCTTGTTCTTCTTCGAGTAGCTTATGGGGGTGCTCTTCAGGGGATTTCTTTTGGGCCAAACGACACCGTATGATCGCACGCCCCTTGTAATTCGCTAGCTGTTGAAAAATAATATATTTAGTTTGTACTTGATTAAAATTGTGAAAAAATGTCTAGCTAGGTTATTGTGTGCACTTACATGTGACTTGCAAATTAATTAAAGTCATGCATTTTATTGACTTGACATTGAAAGTTTATGTTATACAGTTACATAATATTACCTATTATTATTTTCTCTCTAACAAGAGTGTCATGATTGAAATTTTCTTCATTATTAACTCAATCTCAAGCACCAAACAAAATAAAACTCTGAACTCACCTCTACTGTAGGATGAGTTTTGGATTTGCTGGTACTGCTAGATTCTCCAAGCAAGCAACCATGGGTGCCGACCATTTCACTCCGATAGCGGAACCGAAAGTAGTGCTGTGGCTCTTCCGTTATCCTCAAGAATGGTTGATCTGGTAAAAGTAAAGTTATTTGAATTATGTAATACGTAAGCAACTTAAGAGTCACATTCCAGGCGTAAGAAAGTTTATTTAGGGTGTGTAAAAAAAATATCCAATGGACATTTTTATGCTATGCACCATCTAGTCTGAAAGTAAACTAAGTAAAGCTTATGCTATGGGTATTGGACATACTTAAATACTTTTTATTTCTTATAAGATTATTGTAATGGTAAATATTGAGCATCTAGGATTACCAACAGTTATACCATGTAATTTATGTGGTTTTTCCAACACATTGTATTGTAAATAAATCATCGGATCATTCATCAGAAAAAAAATTCTTCAATATCTACAGATAAGCTGACCTAATTGATTTCATATTTTATATATTTTCAGCTCTATTAGGTCTCTACTTAAACATATTGATAGAGCATTCCCTGTCTTCATGGCAATGTAGTCCATTACAATCAGTGGCGGATTAAGAGTATCCGAGGCCTTAAGCACAGAGCCTGTGTAGGCCCTCTATTGCTTAAATGGAAATGGAAGGAATGGAATGGAAGGTATAAAGTATAAAATGAAAGTTCATCAAAATAGAAAGTGTAGTAGGTAAAAGGTAAAACTTAAAACATTATTTTCCTTGCCTTAATTAGAGCAAACTCCGAGATTACATCGTCGAAATTTATCCGACGAAGTATGTCTGACTCAATACACATTAATGCTAAATAATTAAGCTTGTCTGGACGGATTTTAGTTCTTTGCGGGTTTTTTAACCTTTTTAGTTGTGAGAAGGATCGTTCAGCAAAGCAGTTAGTAATCATTAAGCTGTGAAAGATTCTAAACGCAACCACAATGATATTAGTCTTACACTAGCACACTTCTTTTGTTTCTCTTCTTTTTTCACATCGCATGTTTATTTTAATATATACATTTATAAATATATACACATACAGGGTGTCCCGTAATGCAACGTCAAGCCGGAACTGGGTGTTGAGGCAAGTTATGCTGGTTATCAAAAAAAAAATCTGTGTCATTTTGTCAAAATAATAAGCATTTAAAAAAAAAACAAAAAAATCTACTCCCGGTGACGGTCTTTTTACTCGTGTTGCCACAAATGTTCACTTTTTCAAATTTTTTTTTTATGTAACCCTGAATAATGCTTCTGTTTGGAATTTATTGTACCCTTAAGACTCCGCCTTTATCCGAAAATATCCGTAACTTTTGAATCAGTTTCGGTTACGGTTATGGATATTTTTTTATTTCGGATATCCGATAGTATCGGTTACGGTTACGGATATCCATAACATCCCTGCTTGGTAAGATGGCCCTCTCCGTTCCGCTCATACCTTTTAACGGATCAAAAGTACTCAATCATACTACAATTTACGAAAAAATCACGCGTGACGCATATACGTCAGTGGGCAGTCAACTGACATAGACCCGGCGTCTACGAGTGCCAAAGCACGACTGATTTATGCCATTTGATGCACCCGATTTTATAGTATTTTCAAATTAATTTTTCATTTGAAGATTGAAGATAGATATTTTTTCTTTTTCACACAATAATAGTACTATGTTTCTTCTTAAGTATAAAGTAGTTTATGTTGCCAAATGACTTTTAGATTATGAGATGTGACCTGTTTTCTTGCAGTAATTTTCTCGAATTTTGACTATCTTAGACATGATAAAAATGCATTTTAATGAATTAAACATCAAAATTTTCTCAATACACTTTCTTCTTCAGGGTATGCTTATTCTAATGAATACATTCTATCTTCTTACTTAGAAATAAATTTGTTGTAATATTAGTTCAAAGTTGTGCCTTTGCGAGTTACCTGGAAATCGGGCTTTCGAAATTCGCTGTTTTCGTAGGCAAAAATCCAATTTGAACGAGATTTTGTCAATAGACATTCCGTAAAAACGTATGATAATTACGATGATCTAAGTCAAAAGAAGCTATAACAATAAATTATATGACTAAAATCATTTCGAAATCTGCCAAATTCTCGATTTCTGCATGAAAAATGTGACAACGCTCTTAACACGAGGGGCTAACGGGACTATTAGTAATTTGTGCAATACAAATTATTTAAAAAAAACCTACTCTTGCTAAGCCTAAATAGGTAAAATTAATATCTTTAAAAAGTAAGTTTCAGAAAATGTTTAAATAGTAACGACACTGACCTGTGGCGGTGTGATTCCTATATCATAGACTAGATTAGGCTCATGATCCAGCAACGCCAATAGTCTCTGTTGGTGTTGAACACTGAGAGCTCCCTTCAACGCCAACTGAGTGAGTTCCTTAGCTTCTTGCGTGCTGTTAACTGGTTCCTTTTCTTCGCTCTTTTTTTCAGGTTCTGGTTGTTTTTCTTTCTTTTCTTCCTACAAAAAGTTATATTTTTTTACCAATAGTATATTTTAACTTGCCAGTATTGTTAGAAGTGAGGTACAAATATGCAACCAGCAGGGTTACACCGAAACGCAGTTTACGTAGTTTCGAGTTTAAGGTGATAGCAGACTTAACCACTCGAAAAGGGATCAACATCGTATCGCCTTTCGCGCGCTGTCAACCGAAGCGTTAACGTTACGGTGCGGATAAGTGTGTATTGCAGTGTGAAGTTTTATACAAAGAATACTGACCGCCTCGATTTGATACGATCCCTTTCCGGGTTGATAAGTGTGCTACATCCTTTATCTGTCACGGTCACTCATGCTCGGATTTCGCTTTGCGTAAGAGGGATGGCAACATTTGTAATTTAGCATAACGTTTTTTAGAGTAATCCCGCAGATCATGTAAAGCGGTTTTCCTAGATCAATAAATAGGATACCTTAGGTTTGTGCTGTGGCTGTGTATGTGTTCTTCTGTCCAGTTTCTCTGGTTTGAGGCCTGTGAGTCCTTCGTATTCCGGGTCGTAGAGGGGCACGTATGCACCCCGGTTCACTAAGTTCTTCCATACGCCCTAGAAATTGAAAAACAAGCATTCAATATTTGAGACTATAAACGCAATATAAATTTTTTAACCTCATTTTTTTAACATCTTTTCGATTTTAGCACATTGAATGTTAAAAAATCGAGCCAATATCTTAAAAGGCAAGGTTTTCTTGTTTGAGTGAGACATCGTGACAGCGGTCACACAAGGTACCTGGGTGATCATCACTTTCCGTTAGGTGAAATCAAATCAAAAATCAAAATCAAAAGTATTTATTCAGTTTAGACCACAAGTGGCACTTATGAACGTCAAAATTATTATAGAAAATAATAAAAAAGAAAAGTTAGCCCTTATGGGGCACGTTACATGTCTCCTTATCTTTTGGGCCCTACCAGCGATGTGAGATGCAGGCCAAGAGCATTTCTGTGAAAAACCGATCGCTATCAAAGCATACATCTTCCATGACAGGTACCGAAGATTTGGTGAAGGTTTCATCCTTTGGGGAGGTTGTCGGCTCTAGGTTGAAGCGAACTTCGCTCGTGAGTACCTCGTATGTAACGCATCTCGCCCGTGAGTACCCTCGTATGTAGCGCATCTTACCCGTGAGTACCCCGTCCGTATGTAACGCACCTCGCCCGTGAGTACCCTCGTATGTAACGCACGTCGCCCGTGAGTAACCCGTATGTAACGCGCCTCGCCCGTGAGTACCCCGTATGTAACGCGCCTCGCCCGCGAGTGCCCCGTATGTAACGCACCTCGTCCGCGAAGGGGATGTCCTTGGGGTCGAGCAGGAAGGCGGGCGGCGGCACGGGCCCGGCGGCCTGCAGCGTGCGGTGCAGCGGCGCGTACTCTTGCGCCATTAGTGCTTCGAGCAGCTCCTTCAGGCGAGGCGGTTGTGATGTAACGCGCCTCGCCCGCGAGTGCCCCGTATGTAACGCGCCTCGCCCGCGAGTGCCCCGTATGTAACGCACCTCGTCCGCGAAGGGGATGTCCTTGGGGTCGAGCAGGAAGGCGGGCGGCGGCACGGGCCCGGCGGCCTGCAGCGTGCGGTGCAGCGGCGCGTACTCTTGCGCCATTAGTGCTTCGAGCAGCTCCTTCAGGCGAGGCGGTTGTGATGTAACGCGCCTCGCCCGCGAGTGCCCCGTATGTAACGCGCCTCGCCCGCGAGTGCCCCGTATGTAACGCACCTCGTCCGCGAAGGGGATGTCCTTGGGGTCGAGCAGGAAGGCGGGCGGCGGCACGGGCCCGGCGGCCTGCAGCGTGCGGTGCAGCGGCGCGTACTCTTGCGCCATTAGTGCTTCGAGCAGCTCCTTCAGCGCGATGCGGTTGGGCGGCCTGCGGAAATTCAAATCCAAATATTTTATCTAAATATGTAAAAGGAGAAACTGACTGACTTAGTGACATATCAACGCACAGCCTAAACGGCTAAACGTAGGCACTTGAAAATTGGAAGGGACGTAGCTTAGGTACCGTAGAGGTGCACTAAGAAAGGAATTCCCGAAATTCCCACGGGAACGGGAATTAGCGGGAAAATCCTTTTGTATATAAAATCTAAACTGCTTAAGTTAGACGTTTGAAATTTGGCATGCAGGTACCTTAGTAAACTTAAAGCTTAGTTACAACAGGATATTGCAAAATTCCCACAGTAACGGCAGATAAACAGCTAGTGTTTATTCTCCAACTCACCCGTCACTGAGCGGGATGAGCGCGGGCGCGGTGGCTCGCGCCATAGAACTCATCTCGGCCACGCGGTCAGCCACTATGGCCTGCAGCGGCGAGTAGTCAAAGTCCAAGTCTTTGGTGGCCACTGAGTGTAGTCTATACTCACCCGTCACTGAGCGGGATGAGCGCGGGCGCGGTAGCTCGCGCCATAGAAGTCATCTCGGCCACGCGGTCAGCCACTATGGCCTGCAGCGGCGAGTAGTCAAAGTCCAAGTCTTTGGTGGCCACTGGTGTAGTCTATACTCACCCGTCACTGAGCGGGATGAGCGCGGGCGCGGTGGCTCGCGCCATAGAACTCATCTCGGCCACGCGGTCAGCCACTATGGCCTGCAGCGGCGAGTAGTCAAAGTCCAAGTCTTTGGTGGCCACTGGTGTAGTCTATACTCACCCGTCACTGAGCGGGATGAGCGCGGGCGCGGTGGCTCGCGCCATAGAACTCATCTCGGCCACGCGGTCAGCCACTATGGCCTGCAGCGGCGAGTAGTCAAAGTCCAAGTCTTTGGTGGCCACTGGTGTAGTCTATACTCACCCGTCACTGAGCGGGATGAGCGCGGGCGCGGTGGCTCGCGCCATAGAACTCATCTCGGCCACGCGGTCAGCCACTATGGCCTGCAGCGGCGAGTAGTCAAAGTCCAAGTCTTTGGTGGCCACTGGTGTAGTCTATACTCACCCGTCACTGAGCGGGATGAGCGCGGGCGCGGTGGCTCGCGCCATAGAACTCATCTCGGCCACGCGGTCAGCCACTATGGCCTGCAGCGGCGAGTAGTCAAAGTCCAAGTCTTTGGTGGCCACTGGTGTAGTCTATACTCACCCGTCACTGAGCGGGATGAGCGCGGGCGCGGTGGCTCGCGCCATAGAACTCATCTCGGCCACGCGGTCAGCCACTATGGCCTGCAGCGGCGAGTAGTCAAAGTCCAAGTCTTTGGTGGCCACTGGTGTAGTCTATACTCACCCGTCACTGAGCGGGATGAGCGCGGGCGCGGTGGCTCGCGCCATAGAACTCATCTCGGCCACGCGGTCAGCCACTATGGCCTGCAGCGGCGAGTAGTCAAAGTCCAAGTCTTTGGTGACCACTGTGCGTAGTCTCACTTACCCGTCACTGAGCGGGATGAGCGCGCCATGGAGCTCATCTTGGCCACGCGGTCAGCCACTATGGCCTGCAGCGGCGAGTAGTCGAAGTCCAAGTCTTTGGTGGCTACTGGTGTAGTCAATACTCACCCGTCACTGAGCGGGATGAGCGCGGGCGCGGTGACTCGCGCCATAGAACTCATCTCGGCCACGCGGTCAGCCACTATGGCCTGCAGCGGCGAGTAGTCAAAGTCCAAGTCTTTGGTGGCCACTGGTGTAGTCTATACTCACCCGTCACTGAGCGGGATGAGCGCGGCATGGAGCTCATCTCGGCCACGAGTTCAGCCACTATTTATTTATTTATTTATTTTAATTACACAGGTTTATACCTTATTACGTAATTAAATAGTTAGGTAACAACAAACATAATAACAACACCTTAAAGATTAAAGAGAACACTGCTCACAAAAGGATTGGCAAGTTGACATTATTTTATGCCAAGGGTCCGCAAATATGTCACGATGAGGGTAGTCATCCAGGACTATGGCCTGCAGCGGCGAGTAGTCGAAGTCCAAGTCTTTGGTNGCGCTGGGGCAGTGGCTCGCGCCATAGAACTCATCTCGGCCACGCGGTCAGCCACTATGGCCTGAAGCGGCGAGTAATCAAAGTCCAAGTCTTTGGTCGCTACTTCACAGAGCATGACTTGTTTGGCTGACTTCTTCATTACCTGAAAAAGGGATAATATTTGCCTAGGACCTTGATATTGTGCTACTGCAATAGTTGGTACTGATATTTTCTATACAGCTTTAAATATTTCATTTTAGGCTCATTCACTAAACCTTGAAAAGTTTTGAAGCATTCATCTTAATTTTATGAAGAGTGGGGTGCAGTAGTAGTATTTTTTTTTTTTAATAATAATAAATATCCTTAGACATTTTACACTGCGCTTCTAGTCCCAAACTAAGCAAAGCTTGTACTATGGGTACTAGACAACGGATATAAACATACTTAAATACTTTTTTTTTGTAAATACATACTTATTATACATAGAAAACACCCAGTCCAATGCAAACAAATATGTTCATGCACACAAATGTTTGAACTGTGCGGGAATCGAACCCGCTACCTCCGGAATAGTAGTCCGTTCCGAACCACTACACCAAACGGCCGACTAGTAGTATGTGTACCCCAATGGGAGAAAAGGAGCTTTTCTGACAAAAAGGTAAATAAATAAGATAAAGTGGTAAATGACATACTAAACTATCTCAAGAAAAAGTGTGAAATCATAATCATCATTTCAGCCACAGGACGTCCACTGCTGAACATAGGCCTCCCCCAATTACTTCCACATCGCACGGTTGGTAGCGGCCTGCATCCAGCGCCTTCCCGCTACTTTTATCAGGTCATCGGTCCACCTTGTGGGTGGACGTCCTACGCTGCGTTTTCCGGTACGTGGCCTCCATTCCATAATAATCATAATAAATGAAATCACAATAAAATCATAGTCACAGTGAAATCATAATAAATGTTGCAAATGATTGTGCCACTCAACATTTTCAAATTCTAATTAAAAAAAAATATTATTCTAGGAGTATTTTTTCCTTGACTACTCACATCCTTAATATTAATAGAAATGAACCCATGCAGCTGGCCAATGAACAGCCTCTCCTGAGGCGCCAGCGGCAGCAGCCCCGGCTTGCCTTCCAGGAGGTGCAGGAACAATGCGCTGAAGGGGTTCTCTTGCTTGTACACGTCGTAGAGGAGCGCCAGCGCCACCACCCGCTGCCCGGGCAGGGACAGGTCGCCTCCGGTGATAAGGGACGATAGGAGGAGACATACTGAAATGTCATTCATTATTAAAAATTAATAGTTTAATGCCCTTCAAACTGTCTTCAAAATGTTTGTTTCTACTTAGGATTCATTCTCAAATACTCAAAAAATGTAAAATCTGGGCAGATAACTATAAAGTAAATACAAATTTAAATCAAAAATCTGTGTTGAGTAAGTACAAAACTTTGCAAGTTCTATAGAAAATTGTATCTTACAGTTGAAATGCTCAGTTTTAGGAAACCTCTTCTGTACTTGAACACATATTGAATCCAAGCTCTGCGAATCAACAGTCTGTTCTGAAAATAAACTGAAAGAAAATTTTGTAAACATCAAAATACCACGAAAGTTGAGGTTATAAAATTATTTGTCATCGAACTTACTCCAATATATATTTGCTATTTTCATTAATTAGTTGTTGCGACATTTTCAGAAATAAAATTAATCCTAAATTAAAATTAAAAAGACGACATAAATAATTCAGAGGACAACAAAATACACTTCTTCTTCTTCTTTTATTGATGGCGATGAACTTGTGCTTTTTCGCCACTGTTCCGCCAATGTCACGTGCGCAGCTTTTACACAGTGATAGAGACAAATAAAATAAAATAAAATAATTTAACTACAAGACTAAGCGAACTTATCGACCAACAATCAACAACACACAGCTGTCACATAATCTGTCAATGTCAAATTCAATTCAATTTTTTTTTTTCCGATTCCGACGAACCCACAGATATGGATTAGAGCTTCACTCTATGCCAATGCCAAATCGAGCTAGGGATGCGAAGAATGTTATAAAATGTAAGTGAATCGAACTTGATGATATCTAGTGTTGCGATGAGTGGAGAAGGAGATTCATCATTTCATTATAATTTTTTTTCATCCTTATTAGAGTAAAACAAAATGAGCTCTGCTAGTTTAATGATTATAATAACACAATTTATTATTTGGCAAAGTTTTAAAATTTCAAAAACTTTTCCATTCGCTTTTTTTCAGTAAAATTATTGTTGTCATGCACACACAAGATACGGTATAATTTAGGCGGACTTAATATATTATAAAGCGATCTCTTCCAGACAAACTAGAGGCTTTTTTCCTACTTAGGGCAGGTGACCCAGTTTTGGCCATTTTATGAATTTTGTAGACTGAGGCGATTGAGGCTATATCATTTTACAGTTTTTGTAAAAAGTGATTATAGCCTGACCAGGAACATAAAAACCCTCGCCATGTTGCGGAAAACTAATGGTACTAATTTCTTTTAATGGCAACAGTAACTGAAAACTTCATTGACATGTCACCTTGCATGTCAGTCTATTGCTGTCAAAGTGTAAACAAACTTTATTTTAAATGTGCGCAATTGATTTTGTGAATGAAATTGCTAAAATATTTTTATAGTCGTGAAAGAAAAGTGGTTGACAATGTGTTAAAGTATTTGTCGAAGAGAAATACCAAGGGTTCGGACAATATTTTCATTGAAAATGTTTCCAATAAAGGTTGTCAAATTGACTGACATGTTTATCGTATAGTACAGTCCACTATGAAAATTAGCTGTGGTTTGTTTCAACTACCTATTTTAAAGTTTTTTGTCACTTTCTAAAAGTTGAATTTTATGGAATTGGGAAAGAAGTACCGAGTTTGAAGCGTTCATGTGCAGACATTGCAGTTGAATATTCAAGTTCTGAATTTGATTATTGATGAATAATAAAATAAATCCTACTAGTTCGATTGATGGTTTCATTTAATTTATTTAAACCAGGTTACCTATAATAATATTTTTTCGTTAATTTATGAAAATATCAAATTAGCCCGTAATCCTGAATCCTGAAACATAAAGTTAGCCTATTAATTTAACACAGGTACGACTGTACTCAGTGTTGCACTATCAAATGCAATTGAAGCGCCTCTATGCCAGGGTTTTTATGTTCCTGGTCAGGCTATACCTAAATATATTTAGATCTAGCCTAAGGATACATTTTTTTTCATAATGATTCAATGGAAAAATAATCCTGTAGAAAAGAAAAAAAAATGGGAATTTGTGCCATTTTTGGCCACAGTCATGTGCCAGTTCTGGCCATCAAAATTCATCACAAATAAAAAGCAGATAATTCAAAGTAATAAAAAGTTTATTCGAAAATCGCATATTTTACGACCAATCTTAATTACCATTATTTCATCTCCTTTAACACATTTTCTGTTGAAAATTAGCTTTCTTCATAAATAAGAAAACTTAATTTAAATCAAATTAGGTAATAATTAATTATTGTCTGAATAATGTTGTGCAAAAAAACTATGGCACTTACCATTTGAATACCTGCTAACATGTAAAGTGGACATTCTAATTGATATGTATAATAGAAACAAATGCAGTAACACAGTGAGCTTATTTTAACCTTTTGCACAAAAAGTATGAGAGCCGGATATTGTTGTCACCCACCACCCTTTTTAACTAGGTAGGTATATTTACCAACATAGTTACAGGTGGGGGGTGTCAACATTCAGCTATATTTCAGTCATCATCGTGGATTGATTGGGATCGACATAAAGCCTAAACAAAAAACAAAAAGATGGTTTTCATAGGTTTAGGTAGTTACTAATTCACCAGAGCGTTGAACTCTTGTGTACCTACACCTACCTACATTCATTAAGTGTCAGGTCATTCACCGGATCATCGTACCGCTAGGCGCTACGCTGCTATTATCGGTTCTTTCATGGGAACTTATTCCTATTTGCTTTATAATGTGGTTTTTCTTATAAATAAACCTACTGTATTCTACCTGTATTGTGGATAATAATGCACACCTACACAAACTTGGCGCAATAGTAAATGTTTGCTCTCTTTAGTATGTACATACCTACTGAAACATTACCCGTCTGGTAACGACACTGCGCAGTCTTTTCGTGCATCAACCAATTTTTGTCATACCTAATTAGAAACAAAACGAGTTCCAATGACTGATACGTTATCTTACCGATTCAATAAAGCTAGTATACGTGTGCAAGAAGTTGGCATGACACCGTTGAACCTAGTTATCATAAGAATGCTAATTGTAAACGCTCACTTCTTTTATCGTGCCCATTTCTTGCACTGATAAGATTACGGCACTCATATGCCCGCACTGAGCGCCCCCTCACGAGTCTTGTAAATATTGAGTGAAATAAGTTGTGTGGTGCTAAAGAAAGGTGATATTGTGGTGTGAAATGTAGCAACCCAAGTGTGATGGTGCAGTGTTTATATGTTCCATTTTTCTCCTGGAATGCTAAACCCGGAATCAGTTCTAACCATGCACAGCGTAAGGCCGTTAGAAGTCAGTCAGCCGCACAGGAATCGCTCGTCGTCGTGGACTTCAAGGCGGCTGCTGAATGGCTTATCTAGGGCAGAGCCTAGATTTTCCTTGCAGTATGAGGTCAGTTTGGATTATATTTTCAACACACTTAGAAAAGTGTTTAAAATGAATACTTTAGGTACACTTGAAGGGAAAAATTAAAGTATAATAATCATAATAAGTATACTATTATAACAAATTATACTACCTATAGAAGTTTAAGATAGATTGAGATAAATTATGATAAAAAAAGACGCAAATAAGAAGCCGCCTACATTTACACTAGTGTAACTGGGTTTGTGATTGTAATTTTTGTTCCTGTGTGAGTGAGTTGGTATCACCTGATAGTTTATTATAGATGACCCACGCTGAACTGTCCCGCCAAACTCAATGACAGGGGGGCGCTACCATCGTTCAACTATATGGTTTCCAACATGGCAAAAATCTGAACCAGCGATCCGGTATTGACGGTGGCGCCCCACTGTCAATGTCATCGACAGGACAGTCCAGTATTTTGGAACTATACTGATACATTTATTGATATTATTTAATAACAACCACTCAGCTCAGATCTTCAAAGATAAATGTATAATACACAGCCTAATCAAGTTCTAATTCAAATCTTATTCGCACTTTTTTGTTAATGTTAATATTGAAGTACAATTAAGTCAGACGCATTAAACTATTCTCAGCTCATAAAATAGATAAAAAGTTTGTTTTAAAAACTTGTAAGAAACCAATAAATTATTATTTCATTTTTTGTAACTATTTTCGATTATGTTGAACTTAATCGAATAAATCACTGTGCTGCGTAAAATGAAATGCACTGCGTAAAACTGTAAATGTCAGTAGTACGGAACGGAACGGAACTGTCAATTCACTGTCATTGTGAATATTCCTTCGCAATATTTTCGTTTTTTATTTGTGTATTTCCGTAATTGTATTATTAAATTCGGCAGTTTTAGTGTCTAGATTTTTTATTGAACGTTTCAATAAAACATTCTAATGTTAAGAAAGTTTCGGACAAGTTGCAATAAAGTGGCGAACAGTATCGTGTGAGAAACGTGTCACGATTTTTTACTAACTGTTGTTTCATTCAATAAGCTTCTGAAAGGAATGTGAATTTCCCATTCCAGTTGGAAATAGTTATATTTTCTCATGGGTGATGGCTTGGCAGTCGGACACACGTGTAAGTATGAGGAATGGTTAGGAACTGTGCTGTATGGTGGCCCGAAACGGCATCTCGACTCGAGTAAACATGTCCTTGTCATATGATTAACATTTGAAAGCGCTCGAGTTAAAAACCATTAGTTTCTGGTAATCTGTTTTGCTCTGGTGTAATAGAAATTATTGTACATACTCTGTGTGGAGTGGGCTGTGTGGGGATAATAGAGATGTAGGTATGATGAATCATACTCATGTGTTGCAAACTTAGCTTTGGTTAGTTCATTTGAGTAATGCTGATTGGTTGGTATTATATTTATCAGGCAGTAGTCAATGTGATTTAATTAAAGCCTAAAATAAAACTATGGGACAATAATATTATGATAACTCTTTTTACTTCCCAACAACTTGCCAACAATATTTTCTATTTATTGTTTTGGTTAATTGCATTTTAATTGATTATTTCAAACTTGCAAGTATTTGTCTACTGCACACTTGTTTTGATAACTTTGTAAGTCAAATTAATCTAATGTTAAGTAGGTATTTCACAAATTACTAGACTGTTCAGGTTACACCATATTCTGGTGGCAAAAAAGCACCCAGAATATGGCAGTCCCCTATTTTATTATCATTAAAATATAGTAATTTGTTGTGAGCTAATAATGCCTAATAATGTTATATTTTACCATGTAATGAACATGTAATAAGCGCTTAGATAAGCAATATCAAAGGCAAGTTCATTTAAATTACATCACAAATTGTAAAGTTGGTAATTTGTGTACAGTCAACAGACTAAACATTTCAGTTGCTAAAATAACACCTATTACAAGTATAGATAAGAAGCCTCATTGTTTGTGCTGTGGTCTGTACACAATAATTACTAATTTGCTCATTATTTAAGTGCTTTTACTTACATACTGTTTTAACAGGAAAAAGAAAATTGATTCCCAGAGTTTAACTAAGCTGTGTGCTGTGCTAACCTGGTTTTTCACAGAGGTGTACCCACTACAAGTAATACATAAGTCTCCATAATAACTTCCCTTGATTAGAATAAAAACAAACCATGTAATGTATGAAGTAATTGAGCAAGCAAGTTACCAGAAATAAGGGAAATATGCCAGTAGGTTGAAAAAATACTGTGTATAGTTATTTGACTTATTTGTCCTTGAATACAATAAAAACGTACCTAGTAGTACGGATTCTGTGTCATTTAGTTTTATCAAGAATAATGCCAGATATGATAGGCTTATGCCCGTTTTCACCATCAATCCCTAATTTTTAAGTGATCCCTATGGTAACACTTAACAGGCATTTTGTTTTCATAAGGGTCCCTTAAAAAGTATGGATTGATGGTGAAAACGGGCATCAGTGGAGTTTAATCTGAAATGTATATCTAGCTGAAATTGAATTGTTAACAAAGTCACAACTGATTTGTTTTTCTTTTGCAGACTGATGAGAACAGCTACCTACTTCGTCTGAAGATCATAGGGGCGTACTCATTGGCAAAAAAGGATATATTTGGTGCAAGGTAAGCATACACTAAACAATATTATTGTTGAATGGGAATAATTGCTTTTTTCCAATGCATGCCATGAAAACACAGTCCAAAACATTTAGAAAAACATTAGTTAGAAAAAAAAGGTTATTACAATAGAGTGGCCAGTATTAGCATATCAAAATAAAGTTATGTTTCAGTTAGTAGTGTTTTGTTACTACTTTTAGGATAGGTGTTTTGATCAATTTATTATTATTACAAGTTCTGTCATAAAAATAACTTTTTGTTGTTATTACTCATTTATCATTTCAGTAGTCCATTTAGATGCTTCTTTATGTCTTTCAAAGTGATAGCTATAAATAAATAAATGTCCTATAGTTTTCAATTTATTGGGGCAGGAAATAAACAGCTTTCATTTAAAAAATTTTCATGTATTGTTTGTTTTTTCATCCCTAATAGCTGGCATTATTTTCGTCTTGCAAATTTTAACTGCATGCAACTGGAATTCCTTGATAAGTATGCATTGTTTTTCGACCCTGTTATGAACTCTATTACGTTTGCATTATGGATTTAATTACTATGCATATAGCACTTGTCTGTCTAAAAGGCTGTCGAAGGTATACAATAAGGTAGTAAAGTGTTCCTATAGAATGAGTCATATTCATAATGCACTAAGATTTAAATATTACACGTCATGTTTTGTGTGGTATCTTTTATGCGGTTTTCGTGATTCATTCATAAGAATTAACCATTGAGGCGTAGAAAGAACTATACAGTAGAAAGTCGAAAACCATTATAATGCATTTTAAATAATTCCTGATAAAAATTCATCTTGGTATGGGTAATTTCGGAAATTAACGCAAACAAACATACTGTATATTATTGTTTTCGTAACATCATATTGCGACGGTCGTAGAACCAATTCGTCGGTGACGTGATTTATAAAAACCGGGAAAGTGCAGTCAGACTCGCGCATGTAGGATTCCGTACGAACGTTTGTTGTTATATGCCCCCCTTAAATATTTTTGCCTTATGCCTGTTTTCACCATCAATCCCTAATTTTTAAGTAAACCCTATGGTAACAAATAACAGGAATTTTGTTGTCATAGGGGTCACTTAAAAATTAGGGATTGATGGTGAAAACGGGCATTATTCTATTTTTAGTATTTGTTGTTAGCAGCAACAGAAATACATCATCTATGAAAATTTCAACTCTATCTAACTTCTCTATCAGGGTTCAACTTTCAAGAGATACAGCTTGCTAATAGGGTCCCGTTTTTACCCTTTCAGTACGGAAACCTAAAAATGTATGTCCTTTTTCTAAACTTCTATACAAGGCGATATCTCAGTTGCAGCGTACGGCTTGATTGGCAATTGCGGTCGAATTGACGGAGACATAGGTCAGCACTGGTTTGGTCTATGACTCAGCCGGCCAATTGCTTTTATTATCTGATCAATCCGGCGCCTAATTTGAATTTTTTTTTTCGTTTCAAATGCGTCCTTTTGAAAACAATATAATATTTTACTGAACTCGCTCATTCTAGCGATATTTGGTCTTACTTCGACCGCAACACTCAACAGTAAGCCGTGGTTGGTTCGGCATGGCCATGCCATTCCGAATTTCCATAGAGCTACAAACTTTGCAAATCATACAGGAATTCGTGTGTTGCTTGTTTTCTCAGACGAATGACTAAATTAGAGGGTTGTGGATAGTAAACGGGTGTATTGCTTCAAAATCTTTGAACGTCTACAAGTCTGTGCCCATGCTGTGGGACTTTCATGGACATTATTTCTTTTACTTTACTGAAGGTTTGGCCTCTGAGAGCTATGGCAAGCGTGAGGGTCCTTTTGCGCAGCGCGGTCACTACACTGGATGTGCGTAGCCCAACGCTGCGCTTGTCTTCGTGAAGTCTGCCTGAATTTGAAAGGTTGTTCGCAATTTGTGGATTGACACTGACCATTGTACGCTTTGTGACTGTCTTAAACTCCCTACCTAGCTGCAAAACCCTCTCAGAGTAACATTTTCAACAATTTCAAACAGAATTTGCACGATATTATCGAGGCACACAGTTCTCTGATATATTGAACGTCGGACAACCAATAAAAATTGATTTGTTCACATTAGCTCGGTTCATTCACTGGCGTCCGTGACCGGCACGTCATTGATGACGTCATTACTTTAAGGCGATTACTCTCTTTTCGGCCTGTTATGTCATAATGGCTAAATGTGTGGAATATGTTGCTCGTTGCTATTTCTACCCGTGTCTTTTGAGCATAGTATAGGTATAACTCAGTCAGGGCCTAGTTATGGGAGCGGTACTGGGGAGGAGTGACATTTACTTTGACCGAGCATAATATAATATTATTCTGTAGCTCGACTTTCGCCTGGCGCGGCAACCACATAAAAAGCCTAACAAAAGCCGGACAGGCCGGACAAGATAATTTTTGGCAACCCTACGAGCATAGAAATCTCGCTGAAGTTCGACCTCCCAAAAACACCCTCCCATACATAAGGCACTGAGACTGAGTTGACCGCTAGACCTAAAGCATGCAACTTTTTACACGTACCGCTTTTTCGTTCATTCAATCAACGTATATACAAGTAGCTTTCCGCCCCCGGCTTCGCCTGCGTGGAATTTTGTCTGTCACAGAAAAACTTTTTCGCGCGCGTCCCTGTTTCAAAAACCGGGATAAAAACTATCCTATGTCCTTTCTCGGGACTCAAACTATCTCTATGCTAAATGTCATCGAAATCGGTTCAGTGGTTTAGGCGTGAAAGAGAGACAGACAGACAGACAGAGTTGCTTTCGCATTTATAATATTAGTATATATAGTATAGATTAGTATAGATAATTGGGAATAAAGAATCTTGTTAAAGCTACGTAATGTGCTATCAAACAGTATCAAAAACCTAAAAAACTGCGTAAACATAAGTTACAAACACTATGTTTTGTATTCCATGGTTCTAATTTCCGTCACCCGCGGCGTTACAGAAACGTGCGTGCAAATGCGCCTCGCGAGAGTTGAACCTGTGACCGCTCTGGCCTCGTAGCCTGGAAAGCGAACTAGACAACCTTTTTAGTCTGTCCTTATTTTTTTTCCACAAACGAGTTCCTTTATATCAGATTCAATATGGCTTTCGGAAAGTTAGAACAAATGGGTTTGCAAAAAAAAATATCGGACAATATGTTTAATGAAATCAAGCATCCAGTTTAAAAAAAAAAGTAGTTTTCATTCTCTTATTAAGCGCATCTTGTTACTCGAATTTATGTAGGTAAATGTGATTTAGATCAAGATAAACAAGGATAAGCAGTCTGATTCAATGTTTTTTACAATGATGGCAAACGTATTAACTCTGGATAAGGATTAGAGCCTAGACAGATTTTATTACTCCAAAGGCAAGGCAAATTGTCGACGTTTGTCTGCCCTTGAACGCTAGACGCAGGTTCGGTCCCGTTGGGGACAGATGTCAGTGTGGTGGACACGAGTATTTATTCATACTTAACAATCTATATAAGTATGATTATTGGTTATTATTTAGTCTCCTGGTACAAGGTCCACTAGCTAGAGGCTAAGTAATTAATGTGATAGTTAAAATTGGGACAATGTGTTTACTGTCGTAAATTAATAATTTATTATTGTGCGTGCACTAGGCCTGCTTGCTACCAAGCGTACCGTATGAACTTGTGTGACATTCATTTATTGTTACGCTGGGTTGACTCATTCTAGCGATACCTTTGCCATTGTCACCAAGCGGACAAGCTTGGCCTTCCCTGGTTGGGTTTTTATTTGGCGGTCAAATTATAAATCCTGGCTACACAGGAGTTGCAGCGGTGGGAACGAGAGGTGGATATTGTCCCTGGTTGGGTTTTTATCGGCGGTCAGGCTGTAGATCCTGACTACACAGGACTTGCAGATGGGAACGAGAGGTGGGAATAGTCTGATTGCCACCAAGCGTGCCAACAACGTACATTTTTCTCCTCACTTTGAGGATTATGAAAATGGTGGCATAGGCAGGTACATTTCCTCACGGGGCTTTTCATGAATGAGTTATCAAACAATTGAGTCGAGTTGTCTGTTCTAGCCCTTTGTTATCAGTGTTCCGGCTCGGCGTTGATAAGAAAGCAGATAACTAGAAAAGAGTTTATAATTGTGTATGATTCAAGTTAAGTTTTGGTTTATCTTTGTGGAATCGTAAGAGTAGAATTAACGCATTCGTAGTTAGAAAGTCTTTGAGAGGACTTGAAATTCAATCACCAGATGAGACACTATTGCCCGTTTTCACCATCAAACCAACTTATAAGTGACCCCTATGAAAACATTATTCCTGATAAGTGTTACCATAGCGATCACTTAAAAATTAGCAATTGATGGTGAATCCGCGGGCATAATTGAAGCATTGTTCTCAATTTGGATAGGATAAGATATCAGAGACTTGTATATCAACCTGATTTAAATAAAAAGTGCTTCGGAGAGATTTACCAGTTTTACTCGGTAGGATAGAGATAGATGAATGAGGGTTGGTTAAGCTTGGCAGGACACGTTGTGGCCTCAACCTCTCGTCGATTGAAAGGTCTTGTCTTCTTTTGAGTTAAAGATATGATATTTTATCGGACAACCTACCTTAAACCTTACAGATGAAGCACCTTATTCACTACCGTGTATATTTTGGCGCTGACTGTACACGCATTGTTTAANCGTGCACAAGGAGTGCAGAAGCGTAGCAGATCAACAGGCTCAAATTCTCCAATCACCAGGGTCGCTGCAGAAGGCCTGTAGCGACCTAGATAGGCTGCTGCTACCTGGGGGGATCTGGAGCGGTTGGAATAGGAAGATCAAATAGCGCACAGTGGTCAAATCAAAAGGTTAAGTGCAATATTCGATTTAGGGATTGCAATCCAGCGGCGTTTTCAATCCAGCTGGATTCTTGCTGGACTGACCTGAATCCAGCTGGATCCAGCACGGATCCAGCAAAATGTGGAACGAAAATAAAAAGACGACATTTTTAAGACTTTTTTTATTAATTTGTACTT